GTGATCTAGGATAGCTCGCTTCAGAATGCGTTCCATCACCTTGCACGGAACGATAGTGTGGCTTATAGGCCTATAGCTGCCAGGCGATAGTCAGTCACCAGTTTTGTGGATTGGCGTGACAATCGCTCCCTTCCAAGCAGAGGGCAGGCGGCCTTCGTCAAGCGACTGCCGAAACACCAGGTGTAAATTGTTTGCCAGTGTAAAGGACGTTTCATTCAGGATCCTCGGATGGACCTCGTCGGGCCCCAACGCGCAGAATGGGTTGATCTTGTCCAAGAGTTGACGAATGTCCTCCACCGTGAAGACCAAGTCGGTTAGAGGCTGTTCGTAGTTTCGCCTTGACAAGAGTGGATGTGACGAGGACGCTGGGGCTGAGTATAGACATAGTGTGTGTTATCTGTAAAACTCAGATACCACTGTTGGGTGATTTGTCGGATCTCCGTTTCTGTCCCTCAAGGAGAATGCCGATGGTTTCTGCGGATCTCCGTTTCTGTCCCTCAAGGAGAATGCCGATGTCTGGTTTCTGCGGCGATGCCTCATGTTGTTGGAGAGGACATTTTTGTTTTTTTTTCGAGCGATGTGCATAATGGTGACTTTTTTTCTTATGTTCCATTGGCGGATTTCTTATTTGCGGCGGTTCCCTATTTTACGAAATTCCAGCTCATCTTCTGTGTCCATTGTAGTCAACTTTTTGAGAAAGCCTTTTTGACGTTTGTTTCAGCGGTCGCCGAATCTTTTTTGGCATCCTGCGGGTCATGCGAGTGCGTGCCGTTTTTCGTGACGAACGTCGCCTCAGCCTCGAGAACTTTCTATACCATGTTGCTATATAATTCCTTCACCGGAGGTGGTCCCATTTTGCCTTGTTCAAGAAAGATGCGCGTTCCTGAGAAGTCTGCACGGCAGAAGTCTCGAAACCACGGTTAAGGTTTGGGTTTCCTGGCCCAATGGCAGATGAAATCAAGGTCAGCACACAGTGGTCGCTATGTCCCAGTGGAGCGTTAATTGTTACCTGATCAACGAGGTGTCTTTCGTTGGTGATTACCAAATTTAGGAGGGATGGTAGCTGGCTTGCGCGTTATCTGGTGGGTGCAACGACATTTTGGGCCCAAGCGCTCTGTTGAACGACTTCAAACTGCGCCGCTGGAAAACGTCCGCCTGATTCGACGCGCTGGAGCTCAATCCAGGAGGCCTTTGGTGCGTTGAAGTCACCTACCAGCAGGAGATATGTGAAGTGGTAGTTGGAGGAGAATTGCTCAAGGGTTTATATGAGGAATTGGTCATCTTCAGGGGGACTCGAAGGGCTACGGTAGACCACGCCGAGAAGGAGAGATTCGGACCCGCACAGCGGGATTTGGACCCACAGTGCATCGCAAAAGTGTGCAGGGGGTGTGTCAGAGAGGACAATCGGGATTGGTAGGGTCGCAGAGCAGAGCAAAGTGCAGTACAGAGCAACCCCACCAGCCCCCTCGTTTTGAGTCAGCTCGCAAAATAGGGTAACCGTCAATCAAGATCTCCGCGTCAGAGACATCTGGTGTGAGCCAGGTCCCTGCGAGTGCGATTATGGACGGTTGTTCAAGGAAAGCTGACTGTTCAACATCGCCGAGTTTGTTGAAAAGGCTGAGGCAGTTTGTGTACAAGCATTTCAACACTGCCTTTGCTGCCTCCGAGGGTGAGAAGCCGAAATTTGAGTGACCAGGGTGGTTAGCGGACTTAATAGCACCGAGTTTGAGTCTGAGTCCGAGGCTCCAAAGGGGCCTCTGCGGCGATGTTATCTGCTTCCTGTCATTGTGGTTTCTGGGGGTGCTTTTCGCCAGCGAGGTTTTATTCGCTCCGGGGAGCTCGGGCCTTTTGTCTTTGGGGGACGGAGTTTTTTCCCCATGGGCGAAAATTTTGACCGATGCTGATAGTATCTCTTTCAGCATCCCCTTTTCTTCGACCAGACTTGCTGAAGACAGTATAGATAGGTAAACCGTGGTTCTGTGACAAGTTAACTGTACATCATGAGGAGAATTAAAGAATGTCTTACGGCTAGATTGAACATTGGGCAGTTGGCAACACAAGATGGCACACAAAGGTTAGTGTACTATCGGGCAAATTAATCATGAAAAATGTTGTTCAGTTCAAAGTGAGACGAATTTCCAACAACAGGCCCATAAATTAATATGAACAAATCGTCCATAGAAAAATGGTTGGGGTAAATTCGACCATGTGTAAAATAGAACAGTTCAGTCTTGAGACTTCAGCAGTCACCGGAAGGGTAGTGAATTTGCCTGAGGAATAGGGAAAAAATAATTACGTCATGTAATTTACACATTATATTCCGAAGTTTCAGAGATAGCTAAGGGGTTAGAGAATCCTGGAGTAAGGCTCTCCACTTTGAAGGTGCAAAAAGCACGCTAAAGTATGAGGTTCGATATTCTGGTAAGAGTGTTTTGCGTGGGCGATTAACCTCAGTGCTTAAACTGCAGACTTTCTTCCTGGAAAATCTGTAGTTCGGACCAAGCCCTTGCATTTCGGCTGCCCCCATCTAGGCTTAGGCAAGCGGCCAATACATCAGTCTTCCTGCTTCTCTCGGAAAGCATGACGGGTTTACACCTTTAATAGATTTAAAGCTGAACGGTAAACATCAAAACGATGTCGTCTGCGCAATCAACTCCGTCAAACTCCAGACGTGACTTCCATACCTACACTCACGGTTCCCTGGACTGTGCACTTTACGATGGCGTCGATGGCAAAATGAAACCAAAAAGTAGAGAGAACAAACTCGACAAACTCCGCTAGTTTTCAGATGCACTTGCATAGCAGTTGAGCATTTGCATTCTCATCAAATATTGTTGTCAATGACGATGACTCCGGAAAACTCATTGTATATCTTAGCTCGATAGGAGTTATGGGAATAAGGAGCTAGAAGAATTTTTACAAATTTCAACGCCAAGAAGCAGAGTTGAAGGTCCTTCCTGAGGCAAACAAACTCGATATTTTTTGTGGGTGGTATAAGTGGCGTTTCCCCAGAATGTGAAGATATGATCCGTGGACCTTCTGCTTATTCGGAGTCCCACTTGGTGCTTTCGGGCCTCGGCAGGTCAGTCAAACACCGGAAAATCAAGAGCTTAGAGAACGGCAGATTCGGAGGCCCAAAAGATTGAAACGTGTAACGCTGCAGGCAGCAGCCGCACATTATTTCGGCTGATTCGCTCGACTGGTCAAAAGGAGGTAGGTGTCAGCGAAAGCATAAACGAACATAGCGGGATCGAAGTCCACTCCCATAGTCGTCGTCCGAAGCGATATGCTAAACAATTCAAACAACAGTCCAGCTGGTCCCCTTTAACACAACGGCTGACAGGAAACGGCGGGCCTGAATAGAATATCGGCACCAGTCCACCGACAACAACAGAAATCCAGTGTGCTTTTCAATCCGCATGCAGCACAAGGAGCCTGGCTCGGAATGTCCGCAGTCTGCATTCATCGAAAAACATATCAAGATCTTTGTTAACGGTCTATCATTCACACTTCAGAGAATTTGGAACGAAAATAGAACACTAGCTGTACGGAGCTCCTCGACCATCAACCCAGTTTTGAAAAGGGGCGCTAGGACGTCGTGCGAAAAACCTTCGTGGTTGCAGCCAGGTATCCGTCGCATTCAAGGTTATCTCTGGCATTATTTTGCACAGGCTGAGCGATTGCCGGAGAGAGGGACAGATTAGTGAGAATCGAGCTGGGTTTCAGTAGTAATGACGTTCTTCCTCAGCTTAATTCTCGGTTTAAACCTCCCAGACTAGTGTTTCCGCCATAACGACATCCAAAGTTGTATGACGTATATTAATGCCCAAAACCAGGTCAGAAACGCGTGTACAGAACGTGGTACATAAAGTGTATGCCGCGACAACATTTTGGGGATTCAGATACCAGCTGAATGCGCCATTGGCAGCCGGCATTCTGGGAATACTGCGCCATGATTGGCTCTTGGGCCCAGACTTTCGACCAATCCTAGGTCGGTTTGATGTTGGACTAACAAGTGGCCGTACTTCTGGCTAATTGTGTGCGGAATAGGCTCCGCCCACAGTTTCACCCTGTTCGAAGGCGCACCGATCATTTCTTTACCTTGAAACAATTTATAAACAGCGCCGCTCCTTCTTACGTTCCGCGTTCTCCTTGAGGCACAGGAACGGGGAACCCACGAGTGACCCAACAGTGGTATCTCAGGTCTACAGAGAACACTATGAAGGTCTATATTCAGCCCCAGCGTCCTCGTCACATCCACTATTGTCGAGGCGTAACTGCGAAAAGCCTCTAACCGACTTAGATTTCACGGTGGAGGACATTCGTCAACTCTTACACAAGATCAACTCATTCTGATCGTTGGGGCCCGACGAGGTCCATCCGAGGATCCTGAATGAAACGTCGTCCACACTGGCAAATCATTTGCACCTGGTGTTTCGTCAGTCGCTGGACAAAGGCTGCCTCCCTTCTGCTTGGAAGGAAGCGATTGTCACGCAAATCTTCGAGCATTACCCCTTTTTGTGAGCCTCTTCCATTTCTCCGGCTTTCTGTGTCCACCACACTTCACGGTAGGCTTGCACGCTCACCTTCACTTGGCGTCTAATAATTCGTCGCATCAAGATATGTTCAGGGCCGGCTGGGATATATCTCCGAGTTTCAAGCGGTGCCACCGTTTGGTCTGATATCCAGTGCTTGATTGAGCTTGGTGGTGCCGTGCCAAAGGTAATCTTTGCAGTACTGTGCGAATAAATGGCGAGCTTGTCCCAGTATGAATTCATATATGATGGAGCATTTGGAAGAGACTAGAAGATTTTGCTAAATTCGGCTAACATCCGGATCTGACATTCTCTCAATTGCCAGGCGTTTCGGCTGCAGCTTACGCGATCCTAGAAAACGTAAGGAAGTAACAACTCCGGACGAGCGCGTGATCTGAACCCACAAGTGTGTTCCAAAACTACCGACAGTCAGTTATTGATCCACGCCATCGGTAACTGATGGTAATGTGGTTTGTGGCCGGCACGCCGTTGGAGGAAACCATGTGGCCAGACTTCGGCTATTTCGGAAGTTAGTACTGCATAAAAGCAGTCTGCGATCAACACACAAGAAGCAATCGTTACCCATTGTCCGTATGTACCGAGTCCAATTCATGTCGACCTCTTAACTGAGCCTCAGATACGCTGAGCCTTCCACTTGTGCATTCAAATCTCCGGGAACCACCACGAAGTCTGCTTTTAGCTCGCCTCAACAGGGCATTCAGGGCGTCATAAAACCGGTCTTTGGAGGCGTCGAAGCTACAGTCAGTTAGAGCCTAGGCAGACATGATAAACAGACATCTCTCAGCTTCCTGCTTGTGAGACTGCTTCACAGACGTTGTCAGACGAACCATACAGAGGCGACTAGTAACAGGTATCCAAGCAAGTAAGGATACTTCCGCCCGGTGACTTAAGGCCATACCAAGCCCAGCACATCCTGCCGCAGCAGCTTCTGGATCACCAGAACTGCATAACCGGAAGCGAGTGGAGACTGATGGGGCGGTCAGCTCTTGAATTATTGTTTCTGAAACACGGCGAACATTAACATAAAGCAAGTCCAGTGTGAGAGCAAGAGCAGCTTGTTGTCCTGCTTGCTCCAGAGCGCAGACATTGAATACGACAAGACAGACTGGGTGTCGAGGCATGAAGATTGATTTGGAGATACCTGAGGATGACGCAAAAACGATGCACGACGAACAGAGTCAGCAGTCCTAAGTGCTGGGCCTGCAAGGAGAGTTATCAATGGGGTGGGAAGAGGGGGAAGAAAAAGTATGTGAGGGAGAAAGAAGGTAGGCGTCAGCAGTAACCCGTTTTCGCTTACCCGCCCTGCTGTATGCCGTGAGCAAGTGAAGCTCTGCAGCTGAATGATTCTCCTGGTTTGGATGAATCGCGCCCGAATCGCCTCCGGATCGTCACCAAGGTGATTTCAGTCGCTCTCTGCTCGGTGAACAATACCATCACTGTGGACATGGCCTTACCATTCCCACATGCAAAAAAGGAGAGTTTAACTCCAATTACGGGCCCATTATTACTGTGTCGGACCTAGAAACACTACACGTTTCCAACTCACTAGCACGGTTCCCTCAGATGCTCTCTTCTCACTACTTTCGTTCTGGAAAGAGATGTATAGACGCGAGTTTCGGCCTATTTATTGTACAAGTTGACCTGTCAAGAGCGCTTGACAGAGTAGACCATGGTCTGTTGTCGTGAATGCTGCGACATGATGAAATCCGTGCAACTCTACTGAACTACACCCACGATTTAGGATGTGGTGGATTGTCACGAGTCGCCCGGTGTCTTTTGTATCTGGTGTACGGAACATTCGCCGATCTACTCTAAACATCCACCGTATATTCATCCATTCATTTCTATCTTCTTTACAGTCATTGATCACACAATGGACGATGGCGTAAAAAACCATCCTGTAGTGAGTGCTCGTGAATTCAAACTCGGTACAGTCCTTTCTCGGAAATGGGCCATCGACTTCTCTGGAAAGTAAGTTTTTCCAGATCATCATTTTTCTCTACAGTAGATCGAAGTCCTCTGGGCAAAGTAGTGGTTCTGCTGCTCTGTCCGAATTGCATCCTCCTGGTTACGTAGACCGATCGTTTCCTGCCGGTCCAGTAAAGGACTCGGATTCACAGCTTGTCGTGCAGCGTAGCTGGAACATCGCACTCGGCCCTTTGCGTCAGATACCTATGAACTTATTCATAATGTGGATATGTGGAAACTCAATCTCCATCTTCCCACTGATGTCGGTGATTATGCTGTTCCATCGACCAATTCAGGCCCTCCTCTCTTGTCAGTCAAGTGAGTTTGCTTGGTTGCGGTGCTCTCCTGAGCGCGCACGACCTCATTACTCTTGGTGATATTATTGTTTCAAATTGTTTATACGAGTAGAATATATTTGGTAGGATCGTTTTTTGAACGCATGCCCGTCACCATTTGTACTCCAAACTAATCTGCTTTGCGTTTATCGCTTGAGAACTTATGTACCCAGCACAATCCTACTTTTCTCACACATATTGCCGTATTTTAGCTTAGTATTATCAAAACGAAAGCAATTATACTTGACTTTTACCGAACATATATGCACGTGTGGTCAGGAAGGCACGCATCTGTTGGGTTAAGAGGGAGTGCAAGACTTACAGGGTCAAGGTATACCCCGTACATTTACAAGCACTTTATTGCGGAATTCACCGTTTATTATTTACCACAAAGTGCTCCTTAATATCATTGAACCTCCCAAGCCTTATGTCTAGATATGTGATGATATTAGATAGGATTCCGATTGAAGTGGTAAGTTCTATCACACCCTGAAAAAAATTCCTATAAGCACCCTCCCATATGTGAATTATGACTGACTAGGAACGCCAGAGACGGTTACTTCCAGAGGGAAGTCAAGAGGAATCGTCTATGCCCTCCAACAATGCTCTCTTTTGGGTGAAGAAGCGTACCATGTTTCATTTTGGGAGCGAGATGGCTCAGTGGTCAGAGCGCAAATTTTCTGACCGAAAGATCTTTGGTCCAAACCTGACCTCTACTTCTCGAATTGCTCTGCCTAGGCTTGGGCAACCTGATAATATCCCACCCCTCGTGCTTCCTCCGGGTGGCACATCAGCTAGGTACCGAAAGAGTGTCATAGCCAAACGATTTTTTCGTTTTGAAGCACTTCGGACCATTCATTGTTTGCATTCACCCATAGCTTTCACCTCAATAACCTTGAACGGTGTGAGAGTACTCATTAACCTCGTCTCTTCCGTCAAACGAATATCATAAGTAAAACTACTGTCCCGGTGCACGGAAAGATTGAGTCAAGCGACGTGCAATAGGACCTGGCGTCGCATTTTTCTTTATTGCGGGAGCACAAATCCGCCGTCATTTACGCAGCACGTTTGTTTGTTAATTTATTCCAATTCAGTCAATTTGCATATCTTAACTCGCGCCCGATGGCTTGTGTCTTACAACTGACTGCTGTTGGGATGATTTCACTTCTTAAACTTGCAACATGTGCAATTCACACATGTGTTGGTCGGAGTAATCCAACGAAGGTAGCAGCTAGGACAGTGTTTCTAACGCGCCCTGTCACCAGAGTGAGTGAGTCCGTCCGATGACTGGTTAGGCGATTAAAACTGACTTACCACTCGAAAACCAAATGCCCAAAGCTTGGCCAGACTGACCTATTCCCTGGCGATATTTGTACAAGTCGACTGAGACTAACCGCCTTCTCATCGACCAGTTATGGAATTTCCCGTGGTAATGCGACATGTCATGTACTTCTATTCGAGATGGAGAGATAATCTACATAAGTGATTAGTAATGCTTCACTTTATCTGATACACGTTTCACTGGTTTTTCTATCGATTTTCGTCTCTTTGCTAGCCTTTAGTTTGATCGAAGGAGATCAAGCTCCACTTCAGTGCGCAGTGTACGTGTTGGGCAATCTGGTCACTATTGGTCTGGCAATGTATAAATGTCATACGATGGGTTTATTACCAACCTATTCTTCAGACTGGTTGGCTTTCGTAGAACCTCCTACGGTAAGCGATGTTGATACTTCCAAACTGAATCCGTGATTCCTTTGTTCTTGTGTACGGCACTAATGAATGGAATGAGCCGACATGCTTGTATCGTAATGAGGCACTGTTACTGCTCGAGTTGTTTCCAACCACCCAATCCCTCCGTTGCGAGCAAACATGGCCAAGTCTACCAGTTATCCTCACCTATGATACACTTTCATACGCAACATACCTCAACGGATTCAGCGCGAAGCTACTGACCGGAAGGCCTCTAGTTCGAACCCGACCATGGCTTTTCGATTGCTCTGCCTAAGTATTGACAGCCAGGCGGTGTCTCCGCCCTGCTGTTTATTTTGAGTTGTGTTACAGTCGTGCACCGAAACAGGGACTCAACTGAACCACACCGGCAGTCGACGCTCGTGGCCAAACCTTTGAGTGTTCAAACTACTATCGGGAAGGTATTGGGTTCGAGACTCTCTGGAGTTCCGTAGAATGCATACTACCGAAGAACCCCAATAAGGATGAAACAGCTGCACAGTGCTTCTAAGCTTTTCAGCAACGATTGGTCTTACGTGACGAAATCTCCACTAAAACTCCTCATTTTTTTACGCCGGTGTGGCTCAGATTCCCGGTATCCGACCACACCTCGTGCTAGCGTACTATACGGGATCTCGATCAGGTGGAGTTGGCAAGTCCAACACCATCAGGAAACAGAATAGAAGTCAGTCCTTGAGGGATAGGAGAGATGTCGATTCCGGCATAATGCTGCCGGAAATACCTCGCTTTCTTGTCTACTCATGACAACGACTGCCAATGTTGAGTATTCCAATGCCTGCATGTAGGCATCAGACCACTCAGTGACCTTTCAGAAATGTTCATTCCTGTCCGACTTGCACCTTCTTCTGCTTCCACATGTCTGTTTGGGTGGTCTGAACTGACGGTCTAGCTCCATCGCTGATACTCTAGTCCAAGTGAGAGACACTCAACGATGCGTTTCCATTAATCGACAACAGACATGATTTTAAAACCATGTTTTGGAAACCGGGAACATCTTATCAAACAGTGTTTGCACGTGCCGAAGATTACCGAAGTCCGGCGGTTTCTAAATGGTGATTGCGATACTCGAATCTCATGATGTTGCACATTACGTGGGTGGATAAAACAGCTCTAAAGTATTGCCAAAGGACCTACCACGTTGCGGGCTAGTAATATGGTTGGGGTTATCCTTGGCAAGGGAACCGAAATATCTGATAGATACCTCTCCCGTTAGCTGATCCAATCCGTAGTCGAACATTGGTTGGGGTTCGTAGTTTCCTTCAACGGATTTTTGCAGGCAATAAGGCTAGTCAGGTGGAGAATAGACACCACCAAGTGGTTCATACAAGTTACTGGCGATGTCGGCGCACCAACTGTAGTTTTACTCCCGGCTCGCTTATTACAGGCACTTTCGCTCGGGCAGCTTTCAAGACCCGATATTGTGTTTGAGCTCACCACAGTGCACTGTTCAGCTGCTTGGGAGCGCCGTCAATCCGAAGGGCTTCTTTCTTCTGTCCGTTCAGTGTAGGGACTCGAACGAAGTACTTTATTCCATCCCTTTGTCGCCTAGGGTGTGGGGTCCACACAGGTTGAAGGAAGCGTGACTGTCATTGGGTCTGTTTCCACTCTAGAATGCGTCGAAATGTGATATTCAGTAGAATAGCCAGCGTGTCTGACTTCCCTTATCGGGGGCTTGTTTCGAACAGAGTGTTGCCGTTTAAGACAGCGGTGTGTCATGTATTTTCCACGTTTTTTTAAATAAGCGAGCGCTGCATGCATTTCTGCATGTCTGACTACACGACCATCTTTCTAATTTCAGAATGCCGAATGGTCAGCTGGCGGACCCGTGATATGATTTTGCCTCATGAAGAAACGCTCTTCCTGGTCTATGTGATTTGAATTGTTCTTACTTGTTTGATGCTCAGCTATAATGTACGATCCATGTGTTATCAGTTTTTTTAAGATTCCCGGTTGCTGGGTTGCGAATATCTGTTGATGTGGTCTAGCTGGGAGTGATAATCGGTCGCGGTATAGCCTAACAATTTAGGACATTTTATCCTTGGGACATACTAGGTTTCAGGACAGCTAAGTGCTGAGACGTGAAATCCCGGACCCGTTGTTATCATATGGTGACCCCTGCGATGAGGAAATTTTGGTGGCGTGGGAATCTCCTCTTTGTTCAGTAAATTGGTCCTCTATCTCATGAGTGTGTGCTTCTATTCATGAGATTTTATTACACCCTCAGGAGAGGGCAGTGTAGTAGGCTTTTCATTTTATTTGACATTCCATCCTGTAAAGGTTGTACAATATTGCTTTTTGTTGTTTATCGTCGGTACCGGCCACTTCGAACAAATAGCATGTGTCGTGAGCTAGGGTACTTACAAAAGCAATTGCGACGGGGCACAGGTACGGATTTTTTTCCAAATAACGGGGGGGGGGATAGGGAGTTCTTCATGCCAGACTGCTGGGAATCTCCTCTTTGTTCAGTAAATTGGTCCTCTATCTCATGAGTGTGTGCTTCTATTCATGAGATTTTATTACACCCTCAGGAGAGGGCAGTGTAGTAGGCTTTTCATTTTATTTGACATTCCATCCTGTAAAGGTTGTACAATATTGCTTTTTGTTGTTTATCGTCGGTACCGGCCACTTCGAACAAATAGCATGTGTCGTGAGCTAGGGTACTTACAAAAGCAATTGCGACGGGGCACAGGTACGGATTTTTTTCCAAATAAGGGGGGGGGGATAGGGAGTTCTTCATGCCAGACTGCTTTTAGAAGCGATACTCTGGAACAAAAAGATCCCGACTGACCTACCATTATTTTCAGATTTTACCTGTGGCGCAGCCCTTTGTGTTTCCGCAGAACAAAGTGGCTAGATTCAGTAACGTTTTTGTTTAGATGGGACCCTGAGAAGGAAATTGGGATTCATGACAAGAAAGATATCAAGGTGGGTTTCTCGAAAGTCGTAAGACCTAAGCTTGTAACACAGTTGATATGAAGAAACCGGTTCATATGAAATGTTAGCAGGAAGACTCCCGAGAACCCATGAAAGGACATTCTTTTCAGCCCCAATGCGTGTCATTCACAGGCCGGTTAGTAGTCAGAGGAGTTAAAAGGCAGGCTTCTCATGCAAAGCTAAGTACGTTGGTGTAACACTGTTCAAGCAAGTGCCGGAAGATCTGACAACTGGACACCTCATGTACATGGCGACGGGTCCTGCATCTGTTATTATGTCTCCTATATATGTCTGAGGAAAATTAAAACCCTACGGCTCATTCAATATGTTCTAGAGTATTGCCAATACTGGGCTCCTTTAGCATACTGGTCTATAGGGCCCGGGTTTATGTGCTTGAAAAACTTGCAAAGATGCGTTTGAAACAGAAACAAAATGGACATCCTGCAATAAGCGCCTTCCGTTCGGTTCGTTCGATGTACAGCGATCCACTTGTGACCAACCCTTGTGACTACGAACCCTCTAGTAATGCCACCCACTCAGAAATTCATTGTTGAGAAAAAACATTACCTTGATCAATCACACCACCAACACGTGAACACGCTAGCCAGGTGTGCGATTTCACTAACGTCCAGCCTATACTGGACGAGTGACCAGCTTGTATCGTTTGCTGTCATCTCAGATTAATCCTCTAGGGTTTTTTGTAGAACTTTGCTAATACATTATAACCGTGTTGTGTTTAGGCATCGTACCCCTGATTGCTACTGTGATCAATTTCACAATACCAGATGATACCGCAGCGACCACACTCGCTTGTTTCTCGTCAGGCACAATTGTCAGTCTATCTTGTGAGATTTCTGTGTAGCCTAACACCACAGACGGGTGCATGGAAGGTGAGGAGGCTGTAAAAATCTGCACGCATGGCTTCAAAGCAATGAGACTTTCCGCTGACTTGGTCCGTCGGCTAACACTACACCAGTGTGATCCCTGTATGAGCTCTGTTTCATCTTTGTTGCTACGCTATCACCAAGATCTTGAAGGCCAAACTTAACCGCAAATCAGGACGCTATTTGTAAAACAGTACTAGTCTCAGTTTCCATCCCTATCATTTTATATTCATCCAGGCGGACGGCCACGTAAACTAAGACTGTGCAAATGAAAAAAGGTCGGTCGTTGACCACAGCTACGCTTGTACAACACATAAAAAACAAGTTAAGGCAAAAGGAATCAAATAACTATAACTGAAACCAAATATGTGGCGCTGTTTGATATACAACCTCCGTTACGTCTAATGTCGGCGCCCCAGCGAACGGTGCAGCTGTCGGTCAGGTGGCACTTGAGTTATTCGCCGATCTCCAACGAATTCAACAGATGCAGAGTGCTCGGACCACAAAGCAAGCATAAATTCCAGGCGGACCGATCAGCCTAATGACTAACCAGCACCCAAACAGCCAATCGTGCTGCGGATATTATACACTCAATGGAAGCTATACGAGCGCAAGCAGAAGTGAAAAATCTCCCATCTAATCGAGCTCTGGCGACTTCTCTTTGTATGGAGCCATCAGCTCCGTTTGTAGCGTAGGCACATGCCTTAAGAAGCTCAAGTTCTGAGGCCGGACTCGTTCGTAGAGCAAGAATAACTGGCATTATTATCCTTGCGGGCGATACGAACGCCAAAATAGGTCATCCGAACTCCTCGGAATCACATTAGTTCCTCGTAAGTGAGCAAGAAACATGTCAATCCATCAGTCGTCTCCGGAAAACTACCATAGCTCGGCGGTATGGATTTGAGGTAGCCCAACTACTCTCCGAAGTAATCGAAAACTGTACTGCTAACGAGCAGGACAACATGTAAAAGGGTTTATGACAACGGCGTTCAAAGCATTTTGTCCGACTTCTTCGATATGATCAAATGACCACTGAATATCGTCGAAGTCGCTAGTCCCGATTACTGCCAGGAAATTCACACTAACAGGCGGCGAGTTTGAAGGCGCATGCAAATCCCTCAGGCGCCAAATAATGAAAAGACCGAAAGCTCAAGAGGTGGAGAAGCTTTTTGTCATCGAAAATAGCCACTTGATACGATAGACTGACCAGGGGAAGATTACCAGTGAAGCGACAAGTTAAAAGACTGCTCAGTGATTCATTCGCACGGTCGCCGATTGGAAAGATCGGCCGAGCGCTTTGGCGGAAAGTTTAACTGACCTCTTGCAACATAGCCCATAGAGAAAGTGGGTGCGGGTGAGTGGGATTTAAACTTCAATGGCTCATCAGAAGAGATAAAGTAGGAACTGTACCCGCCGAAGCATGATTAAGCCTCAGGATCAGACGGTCTGTATTCAGCCCTCTTCAAAGGGGAAAACCTCAGACGATCTGATCACTGAAAACTTACTGATGCTATATAGAGGAGAAAGAAATTGTGCGCGAGATGGGACACATCAACAATCACCCCTACCTCCAGCAAAGGTACGTGAACATTCAGTTCTGTTTTTCAGCTCACAAACCGTGCACCGAAGTGCAATGGTCCCAGCTCGTACAACTCCGTTCACCGAGTATCATCAGAAAAAGGGAATGATAGCCACGCGTTAGATTCGACGGCCCAGTCAGTTCACTTACATCAACTACTTCTGTTTATCCGGTGATCTCAACGCCTGTGACTGCGGGAGTATTTTCGATTCCCAAGGTGGTGGAGGCAAGTGAGCAAGACGCAATCAGAATATCGATTCACGCGAACACTGGAAGGCGTCGTATGATTATCCTAATAGCCATGGTCTCGAAGATTCTCTCTGATATAATCCTTCGAAGTTTGACTGAACAAAGAGAGGGAGATCCGCGCAAACCAAGCCGGGTCCCATCCTATAAGAGGGCTAATTGATTGCATATTCACTCCACGCCAGATGCAGGGACTGCAGCGCTGTTTTAAGCGACCAAAATGATCGTTCTAGTCGTCTTTCCGCGCAAACCATCTGTGCTGCGCAGATGTCTAGCGTCTGAACGACAGTACCTCCGCTCTTGTGCTTCTAGCTGGTATTCCTGCTAGGCACCGAAAGTGTTAAAGCTGAACGATAGTTTTTGTCTTGTCACATTGTTCCTAAAACCCTTCGGTCAGCGACAAGCCTCATTTTGGGACTATCATTAACTACAGAGGTTCACGGACTCGGCGCCAGAGCAGGTGAAGAAGTTCATTTCACACGGGACCAGATGATGATAAGAAAAATGAATACGGAAGACTGATTACGACGAGATTTAACACACTAATCAAGGTCGGAATGACATCGCCCATATGAGACGACAGTTAGTTGCGAAGCAACCAGGTCGAATCAGTGATGTCCACGTGCCAATTAGCCGAAAACAATGGCCATGAAATTGAGGTAGAAGACCCCGAGACGTTCAAAGACAAGCATGTAATGAGACAATCAGTTGGCAGTGACCAGTGTCGTCGGATGTTACAGGCTTTTCAGTAAGTCAGCAGAGCAGTCACGCAAGCTGGCCACAACATCATTGGAAAAGCTGCGTAGGATTTGGGTCACCTGGTCACGACAGAGTGATAAGAACGCTGAAAAAGAAGGGTGAAAAATGGGAAGTTGACAGGATATATGGATGTCGGTAGATGTACTGGAACTGCGAACGACATGCGAGAATAGAACCAACCTGGGTGCCGCAACAGGGTAGCCACACAGCCGAGAGCGTGCTCACGCAGAAGCTGAGATTTGGGGTTTTCGGCCGCCTGTTTGATGCGAACGAGCAGATCCTTCAACTCCAGTTCAACGAGCGGCTTTCCAGTTTTCTCCACGCTGACAACCAGTTGGCTGCTCTGTTCAGGCGTTAATCTGGTTGAGAAGAATGTACAGTGATGAATAATCTACATGGCAAAACAAAACGAAGGAGGATCAGGTTGCTTGATCTCTGCAAACGCAACCATGAAATGGGTGCATATATGCATGAATGATGGATCGTCGGATTCAATATTGTAAACTCATCCACGAACAATCATCTGGTTTTCTTCCGTCTCCGTTATCCTTTTGAAGGCTGTTAGGTTACTTGCACATTGTTTTTGCATCGGTTTTCAGGTCTTCCCAAACTCATATTCCGAATTCTAGTATGCCAGTATTCCAGAACAAGGCCAAAACGAATTGTTGATAGCTCGACTGGGCACAAAAAGGCGAGCAGGGGCAACACAATCGGTCACACGCTCAACAAGTGACTACCTGGAACGCCGTCGCGTTACTGCCCTAAAGTTCCACTTTTGAGAAGTATCATTCGTTAGTGAACAATATGGAACAGATACCAATGTCACTGGTACGCCAACGCTGTAAGGCCAGTATGCAGCGCTCGAAGTTTGCGGTAAGGTAAAGAATCTATTCTACTGACGAGGGAAGGCACCTATCTACCTAATAAACGGGAAAAGGAGTGCGCACTCACTTGGCCATGATTCCAAGGACACTGGCCAGACTGGCCGCTTGCACACGTCGACTGCTGTGGGAGAGTACGAAGTTCAATAGCTGGATAGTCTCTGCGAACCGTTTCACTGGAAGAGAGGGATAGAGTGTTGATAAGCAGATAGCGTTCAGCAACGTAGGAAACATTTGTTGCGCACTTATGGGTAGTCTTCTACTAAATACCAGTAAGCGGAGCGGTCTTCAGCCAACGGAAATGAGATATCTTCGAGCCTTTGATAAGTGTTTCAGAACTATGGATCGTGTGGGCTATTGCCAGCGGAGCCGCAAAAACACAAGGCAAAGTCAAATAAGGAAAGATAATCATTCGGCTGTGGCATCCTTGCAATGCGTAGCTTCCGTGAAACTCGTGAAAAAACATAAGGACTTAGATACTGCCTGGTTATACAAGCCTAGACAGGATAAATCGAGAAGCCAAAATTGGGTAAGAAGCAGGGAACTTCCGGTGCGAAGTTTCACACCTTAACGACCGAGCTATTTGGATCTACCTCGAGTTCGAAAACAAGTGATCGGTTGTGCGTCGGTTACCTTAACTGAAGCACGGAATCATCGGTGTTAAGCAATGGTGTTCTCCTGTCGAGGATAAACTCAGAAATATCGGTTGCTGTTGTGATCCGTTGAGTTTAGAACCACTGGAAAGTATGTGTGGATGGTCAGGGCTGCTGGTCGAAATGGTCCGGCGAAAAGATAGCTGACCATCAATGATCTCCAAAACCGAATGACAGTTACAGTCAGCTGCGCAATCGAGATCCGCATCATGTGTGTTTCAATCAATTGCATGATTCGAAGGGAGATGTGTGTGGGAGAACAAATTGTCAGGCGGCCTTCATACGGAGGTGGTCTCCGTATCCTGACGCTAAATGACCATTGTGGAAGGCCAGTCTCTCTTAAAAAGAATCTGTCTGGAATAAGAGATTGAACGAAACACGCAGACGGTGCACTACCGAGCAAACTCTGGTGGACGAGTTTCTGTGAATTCTATGGGCCGTAGTGTATTCCACAACGTTTTCCAACGCGTGGGGTGCTCTGGAATTCCCTTGAGAAATACCACCGCTACGGAATCCAACGGTATCCCAAATACCGATAAGATACTCCAGTTGAAGGCAGTTCAGTCCGAGGGTGAAAAATTTCACCCGCTACAAGTTAGTCCATGCGTCCGAACATACGCTTAGACATGACTGCATGCACTGCACTGAAAAATCGATTTCCGCTTTTTTCCTCCCACCATTGCGCACGTGTTCAAGTTGATGTCAAGGTGGAAATGTCTTAAAATCTAAATTAGAATATACAACTCCTCCAACCCACTACAAGAATCAACCCATCTGACAGCTTGCGTCATCAGCAGTGCGCGTGTTCTCACTCGAATAGAAAAGGTGTGATGTGAATGACCTCTTACACCTAGTCGACCACCTACACTATCAGGATGGAATGAATACCGGTTACACACCAACATCAACGATGTTTCTAAACTTTGCTCCACAGATTTCTCATGCGGACCAGACCGACCGACAATCAGTTCGTAATAGAGGCAGACGGAAAAATGATTCGAAATTTTTCAGTAGCTCTAAGAAGCAATCAAAATTCTGAGAGAGTCCGGAATACGGACTTCCCGGTCAGTTAGTCGGCACTTTCACGTTCTTAGCGATTATACCGACCTTCGCCACTTGATGTGGACGACCTGATGGAGAAGAGGAGTCACTCAGGTTGAGCCGCTTTGAATCATGTAGGGATAAGTAATGAGCATACTGCTCACGATGTGAGCTATCTACCGAGCTCGTTCCTGTGGTGCGTCGGAGATTTCGAAGGGTGGGGGATCGCTTAGCTGTAGCACCTTAACTGCTATGTCATTCGAAGGAAGCACGAGGGTCGGGATAATGCCACGTTTCCCAAGCCTAGACAGGGGAAGCTGAGAGGCAGAGGTCGGGTTCGAACCGCGGACCTTCCGGTCAGTAAATTCGCGCCCTTACAACTGAGCCATCTCGCCCCAGGTGAGGGATATTCTCATCCTGACATCAACCCTAGCACCAAAAACACATGGTCTACGTCGCTGGATGTTGTGTACATATATGTACGCACGCATCACTTTTCAGTATTGAGGAATTTAGTGAAGATAAGGTTCTCAGGACACTTAGTGGGGAACCACAGCTGTTCCTTGGGGAAGGAAGCATGACGGCGATAGACGAGAGTTCTATCACAAGCGAACTATTTCTGGACACGAAATTTTCAGATCACATGAGTATAAATGATTAAAAGGAAGGAGAATTGATGGAAAAACGAACTCAGAAGAAAACGGCGATAATCTAGGAGGACGAAGAATGTTGTTGAAACTTACGATGCTCATCAATACGTCTCATTGGCCACAAAATTCCGACAGCACGAACGGCCAATTCGAGTTCGGAGTCGCTCAACTCAGTGTTAAGCTTAAAAGAAACACAGAGGAGAAAGGAAGAATGAAAAAGAGGGAAAATGTGACAACGGTAGTTAGCGTTACCGAATATAGATTAATGAATCCACGATGACATAGCCACACATAAATTCATGTCACGCATTGGTCATTGCGTGGTGACGTCAGCAGAGTGACCTTAGTTGCTGCCTACAGTAGGACTGGCAAGAGACAACTGCGTTTTACCTTCACACACCGATTTATACGCTCCATCCCGTTGACAGGTCTGACGACCACATTTTCTTCCAGACGCGCGCATCAGTCTTCGGTTCTTAGCACTCAGCTTATTCAAATGTTTGGTGGCTGAAAACGCACGCTGCGGCAGAAGAGCATGTGACTCTCGCTAGGCTTGGCTGGGGATACTGCGATTTACGGCTGAAGACCAATTTCCATGTCGTTCATAAAGCAAGCTTCTAGAAAGATTGTCTGATGAGTTTTTGAAGTGTGAATGCCTCGGATAGCTGTAGCAGACTGGCATTAGCTGTCTCTCTTACTGTACTCGAGTTTAAGCTATCCAACTCTGTGCTTCTATGGAACCTGGCCCTGGGATGTAGGATAATTAAGAAAATCAATATTCTCAGCATTTGTTGGCGTGTATCTACCATCGGTCTGATGCTGAAAGACAAGAACGTACCACCAACGTCTTCGCGTGGTCTCCATGCTTTCCACGCTTAGACCACTGCGGGACAATGAGAAGGAAGAGACTGGACAGACGGTCCACCGATTCACCATCTGCAGTGTTCTGTTCGGCTACGCCCACGTCATCAATGCGCAAGGCATCTTTGCTCGAAGCTTCCGCAAACGAAGCCAACGAGAGGAAGGCCTCAGCACGATAACCCGGTCCAATAGCCTCGGCTCGCTTGACACGCGTCTCCCGAACTAGAGCGCACCAAAGCTTGATTAACAAAAGGAACGCGAAATTGAGACCTGGATGATTTTTGCACTCAAAGGAAGAATTACGGTGGTCATTAGTGTATCATCACAAAACCTTATTTCTTCTCGCGATAAACGTCGTGGTGACCCCTATTATTGTGGCGAACCGTGCAGATAACACCGCCCACCGAACCTACCTGTTGTACAACCGCTTCGTGCGAAGGAGCACTGGCCAAACCACGTTCTCTAGCATATACGGCCAAGAGACGACCAGCCCGAAGGAGACAGGTCTATAAAGGAAAGGAAATAAACCGACATTATCGCTAGTTCTTGGTGACGGTTTCTTTTCAGTGGAAATCTTATATGAAGTTAGCTTACCTTCCCAGGCCAGGGTTTGCTATTTGTCAGTCCCTGGGCGATGAGTTGTACTAGTGAAAGCCATGCATGAACGGTCCACTCATGATCATCCCCGATTCCCTTGGCTTTGCCACCTGCGGTCTCTTCCTCGTCCTGCTCAGCGGTTTCAGTTGTCCCACCCCCAGCTGTGGGGGCTGCATCCTCACTCAATCCAATAGGTTCGTTCTCGGAACCGGCAGGACAAGGACGCTGTTGTTCCGTCCGAGCACGATTAGTTGTAGAATTGGATACCGGTTGTCCAATAAGTTGTGCAGCTAAATGTAGAACGGCCAGTGCAGCTTGGGTATGCACAGTCCAACTAGGACAATCCAACAACGCGTCACGTATTAGCTGGGTGCAATGCTCGAGCAAGGGGCTGTGCAGGAAACTCGTGACGACACTGCAGGACGAGGAAGAAAACAACTTGAGCGCAGTCGCTGGATTGGACTGCCAGAAGAGTTGTCCGGTGCAAGAAGATGCAGTGGTCGTGGGAATTTTGGCCAGCAGCTCCTCCCAGGTTTCTTGCCAAAGCGGACGCAGCGGTTCGAAATCATCAGTCGTGTCTGTGTCCCGTGTGGTGGTGGTGGTGGAGTTGTTTGCGTCCAACGAATGAGCCAATGTGTAGTCAACTTTGGTGTCCACTGAGTTGGATCCTTCTGGTTCGGGCTGAGTAAAAAAAAGAAATGCGGCATAAACAAGGACAGCCATGTAAAGGTTCGCAATCTTCATGTAAACAATTCAATGGAAAACATTTACCTGACGGTTCAGAAATATGAGGGGCAACGTGATTCCCGCGTGAGCATACAGCAAGTCCGGACAATGATGGGCAACTGCATGTAAGACGCGGGCACAAGCCCAGTGGTTGACAGAGAGCGAAGAGGAACCAGTCGTGCAGGTGACGGGCTCTGGATGTAAGTACCAGGTGCGAACACGGTTGAATAGTTTGGCAACACTAGTTTCCTAAAAATATGGAGAGAACGGGAGAGTGGAGAATATTAGCGAGTAGATGTTTTGTAAGGACCCAAGGAGGAGATGTTGATTATTTCAAGTTCTCAGCTACTGTTGATCTTCCACTTGAGATGAACCAGTGGTTAAGGGGCGAACTTACTAGAGGAGGGGTTCGTGGTTCGAAACAGATGTATGTATCTCGACTGCTTCTGTCTAGGCTTAGAGAGACTGGTAAAATCTCGACCTTGATGCTTCCTTCGGGTGGCATGATAGCTAGACACCGGAAGGACGCTACAAATGGACCATTTTTATCGACCTTCCATTTGTTGTGGCCATCTTTGTAACCTAAACAGCAGTACCGGACATAGGACAGTACCTAAGATAAATTTACATCCCCTAAGGTTGGCAAGAGAGGATTTACACCTCCGTTCACATATATTTCATCGAGAAATGGATCCGCACACCATCAGACGATTGGGAATCACGAGGATAACATTTGACTTCAGTCTTGTATACATGAACAAACACGATAGAGGACGGCAAGGTTTCATCTGTGCATTGGGCACCAGAACACTAATGAACACTCCCGGAAGTTAGATGGACACTTCTGGCCAAATAAAACAGGAGTGTTAAAGCTACAGAGGAATGAAGGCCGACCGAAGGGTTGAAAGCAGAATAAATGGAACGATGGCAGTGAAAAACGTACAACTAGCAACACTTACTTTCGCGAATCTCAGCAAACTGGCTAAAGTACGAGCCATTTCAACCTGCACTGCCTTTCCAGCCGAATCCCAATTCCTACAAGCACCAGGAAGTGCGGACAGCAATGCAGCCAAAAGTTTCCCAGTATGGGGGACCAGCGATGCGAATCCACCACCGCCACTGACTGGATTAGCAGCACCGACGACAATATTGCGGGAAGAGGCAGTTCCTGTCCCCGGAACTGCTGCACGTACCGGACTAGTTTGCAGCAGCGATGTCCCATGCTTTTGACTTACACCCCGGCAACAACGATGAGGAGCTGGATGGCCGTCAGACTCATGGACGGAGGCCGGAGTTGAATCGAGTGGTCCACAACTTGGTGGCGTGGGAGGAGTTGGGCCAAGCACCGAGGATGGTGGCGAGGAATGTGTGGAGTTGCACGGAGATGGATGAAGAGGATGATGTGGAGATCCACTGGGACTTTCATCTGGTGAGGAAAAATAAGTGAGATCAGGACTTATATGGTATACATGACTACAGTATATTGTCTTTATTGCTTTCACCAGTAAACCTGGATAAACTGCAGATGGATCGGCCAGATCTGTGTGTGTGTGATACTTCCTGGAAGCCTGAGAAGGAGTCAGGTGAAGCCTCTAACTACTGTGCCCATCACAGCTATGCGCCATGTACGCAGCAGTGCGACAGGTACCGGAGTTTGACGAACTCTATTAATCGGTTCACCTGTTAACATGAGGACTAGGTTTGATTCCCCTAGTCTTGAAGTAGTATCTCATTTTGCACATAGGAAGTGCATGCTGCATTTCAATAAGTATGATTCAAGAAAAGCGGAGCACGCTGTCTGTGAATGGACATTCCGAGAGGATTCCATTCCCCGAGGTGATGGTGGTCTACAAAGAAGACTCAGATGATATGCTGTTGAAGAAGAGCGACGGAGGGCAGCCATGCCAGACATCACTGGATGAAGTGGACTGAGTGGGAAGTTCGCTGTAGACACGTGCGCTCCAACGAAACTAGCTACATAAGGCCTCTATCAGAGACGAGGGTTTACAAGGGATGCCTTTCGGTCCTAAGAACTCATGCAATCTGTGATGAAAGGCGCAATAAGAAACCGAACTGCAACCAGGAAAAAAGAAAATTCGATGGCAGTGTGAGATGGGTGGCGCTACATTCGGTCCAAGTACGAGCTAACCACACTGCTAATCAGCCGCTCGTAGTTTTCAACTACTAGCGAGTTCGGATCTCCCTGGGGATTCGTGAGATGCGCAATGCTGATGGTGACTCATTAAGATGAGGCAGTTTAACCCGTTCAGCTGTAAAACCCTTCCGGTGCCTAGCTGGCATGCCACCCCGAGGGAGCACGAGGGTTGGGATACTGCCAGGTTGCCCAAGCTTAGACAGGGGAAGTCGAGTGGCAGAGGTCGGGTTCGAACCACGAACCTTCCGGTCAGTAAATTCGCGCTCTAATCACTTGGGCCATCTCGTCCCAGTCTAACAGTGCTTCTCAGATTACTTCAGATTACAGGACAAAATTTCGATTGAAAAACGATCGGTGTTGGTCGTCGGAAGGAATTGCACAGTTCACACGCTTGTCACGAATCGATGAACATGGAATGCTGTATTCATGGTTGGCAAATGTGAATCCTCTGAGGTACTACCTGGAAAGACGGGATATTACAGTGAGACAAAAAGCAAGCGAAGTCAAAAGGCTCCTAGAAGATGAACAAAAGGGAGGTGGTGAATAGAGGTTCACATCAGAGGTATCTCCTACTTACTTCCAATATGCTCCGGCTCGTTCGCTGATCCGGGACCAAACACCGAACAGCGAGCACAGCACACGTTGGCTCGGTTGAAGGCGGCCGATGCAGCCATCGCACTGGCGTTGGCTGCGGCTAAATGGCTAATGAATACGCACGCGGCTGTCGCGACAGAAGCCGCCTCACGTGTGCCCGTTAGACGACCGCCGCCGCCAGAATTACTTGCTCCCACAGTGACCGTGCCTGCCCCGCCACCGGCTCGAATAAGCTCAGTGAAAGGGACGATAAGGCGCGAGAGGCAAACGTCGTCAATGAGGCGAACACACTGAAAGGTTAAATAAAACATATGGCGAAACTGCAGATACAGACACAATAGTCGTTCGAAAAATTACAGATGATAAGAAGCGCCGTTAGCCTTACAAAAGCCGTATTTGCGGAACTTTCATTCCGCGTATGTTGAACTGGAAACCGAACAAAACATAGCGAAATACACTTATTTGCGAACCAATCTGGTTTAGACGGAAGACTCACCTGGAACCCAGATGAAGCTCTCGCTCGTGATGTTTTTATGAGTGGTGTATTACGTATACACATGTATTGCGAAATCTAGAACATAGTACCAACTTAAAGATGAGGCGGCCTGGTGCAGCACATTCAGTTGCTTAAAAACATAACAAACGAGAGATTTAGCTGGGTTCCAAACCGAATTGGTGTGCAAAAGAGTGTATTTCGCTTAATTGGAAAAAAGTTTGGAACCGATTGAGAAGTCATCATTTCAGAAGAGCTTGGTAAACAATCGGTAGTTTTTATTTGGGCAACGTTTCGCTTTTGACACAAAAGCTTTATCAGGCCAAGTGAACAGGTCGCCAAATTGGCCAGGTTATAAGGCAGACGGGAAACCAATCAGTAAGTCCTCTTCACACTAGATCAGTGTTGAGTGTCAATTAACGGCTCTTGTTGACTAGTATGGGTGCCCAAAGAAAAGCTACCGATTGTTTACCAAGCTCTTCTGAAGTGATGTATTTCGCTTAGTTCGCGCAATTCGGGTTCAAGTAGAACATAACTTTGACAGAAACTTGGGGATTGCGCCACCTGATGAGCCCCAAGAAGGCGAAATCGGTCGTGGGCTGCCAGTTTTCAGCAACCTTGTGAGTAGTGTACTGCGAACGAAACACAGTTAATATGTAACAAATGGTCGACCAGTTTTAGAACGCGGTTGTATCGACTTGTGTACAATTACTTAGTCTACCCGATATTTTCCTGGCTTATAGTTCAACATTATCTTGGGAGGACCTGTCGAAAACATGTGTCCGCTTACCAAACGTAGCACCTCGGCCATTTGAATCTCCTTGTTGTTTGTTGCGCAGGTGGGTAACAGGCTGGAGGCCATCGAGTTTGCAACCGTTATAGCCGATGCACCAGTCGAAACACCGGTGGACGTTGTTGTCGCGTGAAGTTGGTGCAAGTGGTGAATAGGTTGGCGCATAAGACTGGCGACGAGCGATGGATGAACGGAAGACATTGTGTGCAGACCCGCGAGCACGAGTTGAGGTAGCGCAGGTCGTAAGGCCGATGGGCGAGCGGTACGAGCAGCCGCCAGCAGTAGCTCAAGGGCCAAACGACGAGATTCACTGGGTAAATGTGAGGCACGTCCAGCACCTTTGACAGGATCCGGTTCGGATACGGACGTCAAAGACCATGGGGCACGATCGATGATAACAGGCAACAGACCAGGAAGTAATCCGGCAGCGGCTTCACGCGAACATGGATTCTCCAGGACACGAATTACGAGCTACAGACAGAGAGAAGTAATTGCGTGGTAGCGAGCCCGACCGATGTGTTGCGGAATAAGGGGGAAAACACTCAGGTGCACCCAACTAACCTTTTGCACTGCTATTGCAGCCTCCTCCGGAGGAGTTAAGCCAGAAGAGGTGTGCTCCGAAATGGAGGACCCAGTCGTTCCATACTCATCACACAGACCCAACAGACCTGAGAGTAGGGCAGGAAGATGTCCAGCGAGTCGTCGATCGGCTGACGGATGGTGGGTCAAATTAGCAATGGCCAAGCAACACGCGTCCCTTAGACACGCACTCTGCGTCCCTGTAATTCCAGCCCGGTTGGTGGTCGAGGGTCCGCTAGCTGGGGTGGACGCATCTGAAGAGCTTTGTTGACCAGGGCTAGCGCCGCTGGTTCCCCCGGTGGTCACACTGACCGTGTTGAATCCAAGTTGGGTTTTTATTTCACATATAATCGCATTGAAGTGAGCCTCAATCTGTTTAAAGGTACCAGAAACGCTCGGATTAGTGGTGAGGAAGGCGTTCAGGTCAAAGAAAAACGAAAAGATATGGGAAAATCTCCGGATCAGAGGGTAGCCAAGTCATAAAACAATATGATACGGAGAAAGTTGACGAGACGCCAACGTTTGAACTAGCCAGCGGCCACATGAACAGATGCTGAAGAGAACCGTGGCTTAAAGCTGAGAAGGGTGTTCATGTTCCGGATGGTGTCAAACCCTTTGGCGGAGAAACAGACTGCCTAAATAACTCTCGGGTAGCGACCAAACCTCCATGTGTGTTTCAAGAATTTAAAGGAAATACTCGACTATGAGGACTTTACGGGTCGTCATCTAAAAGGTGAACAAACATCTAGGCAGGTCGATGTGAACGGAAAAAGGGGTTCCTGGAGACAGTTCTCTGCCGAGAGCCGCCTGGAGATTCACTATTCAATAGAATCCCGCCCAATTCATCAATCGAACTGATGGTTTTTCAGTGTCTAACCGGCTTGTTGGTGTACCTCGTTGACCCGATTCTCATAGCCATCTGTAGCATTGCGCTCTGTTTGCATCTGCGCAGTTGTGGTGTTCTCTTTGAACGTTTAGTCTCCGAAGACGGAGATGTTTACATGGCATAAATAAACTATTCGAACAGGTAAATCTTTTCAGCGATTCGTTTGATCACCCGAAACTGGAGTCAGTTGATGGCTCTTCCACGATGCAAAGAAAGACTTGTCACAAGGGACAATCTATACGATTGTAAAGGATGCCATTCGTTTAATTTGAGGTATCTTAGCATATAACATACTTTGTTATTATTTGCTTACTAACACCTGCTTTAGATGCAATGTTTTTTGAAGCTACTCAAACCCAAAGTTAACCAGGAGTCGCTAAATTTCCGACCTTCGATATCTGGTGCACTTCGTACACGGCCGTGGGTGTCACGTGAGTAGCGACTGAGAAGTCAGCGGTCGAAATTTCGCTTAATGAACCACTGAGAGTACGAGCTGTTTTCCATTATTCGGTAGCTGGTGCACTGCCAGCTGCCTCTAAAAGCGTAAGGTCCCTTCGTTTGACTTTCATTAGCGTCCGTACTTCCCTCCTCCAAATGTCCATTCCTTGTCTAATACTGACTGATCCCCAAGTCATGTTTCACTGACTGTACGTCGTTTACTCTACCCTGTTCTTGTCACTAGACCCGTTTACCGATTGTTGCTCAGCAGCAGATTCGTATTCATAACGACATCATTCTCCCTATCGAAAAATCATTGTGTGACAAGGGATAAGAACCTTGTGGAGCCTAGGGAATCTAGAATGCTAGGACACCCACGAGAGATAAAACATCAACCGGAAACACTCATAACAATAATGATTCAGTTGTAACACCATTTCTGTGCCTAGCTGCCATGCCATTCGAACGAAGCACAAGGGCTGGGATACTGCCACGTTTCCCAAGCCTAAACAAGAGAAGTCGCGATGCAGAGGTCGAGTTCAAACCACGGACCTTTCGGTTAGTAAATTCCCGCTCTAACCACCGGGTCATCTCACCCTCTATCTGTCTGAAGAGTAAAATCCCACACTTTCTGCAGCGTTCACAGTGGAGATTCTACTGAAAAGCAGATATGAGGCACTAGTACTATCCGAAAAAAGAATCGGGCACTTACCATTTCGGAAGACAAGCCGTGTAGTGAGCCAGAGCTGCAAAGTCCGGATGACTGTTGTTGCTGAGAAGTAGGTCCAACTGTTGACGACGATGACGAGGAAGCTGCTTGTGAGTAAGCCAGACCAATCGAAGACGATGAGTTCGCCGCCGCCGAAGAAGATGGAGCCACCAAACTCGAAGCATACGACACCAAACCGATCCACACATTCTCCACTGCTTGCCGCAATTTGGGACGAGCGTGGTCGAAGCGGCGGACGAAAATGCGCGGTACAAGGCGCGGCAGAGCCGGAGCCAACGCACGACCAAGGCGGCGAACAAGACCTGCATAGGTCACACTGGCGGCCAAGCAGCAGCCCACATTGGTTGCAGCATTCGAGCCAGCGAGTGCACGAGTGTTGGGTGGCGGAGCAATAGCCAATACAATCAATGACAAGGCCAAATCAGGACGCCCAATTTGCTGGGCTAGGTTGCACAACTCACTGTAGACTGGTGAACCTTGTCTGAACAGGAGGTATGGGAAAAATCCGAGAGTGACAATCGTACTAAAAGTCAAAGTTGGCAGGATTTTTTCGCAGGCGCGTCAAAATTTGTATGATTGCGAAAAAGTGCAGGAGGGCTCTAGGTCCTACTCAACAGACTTGCCTGTGAGCAGTCCGCGAAGGACTTTGGCCGAATCAGAACCAAAGGTCTGAGTAGAGTGAATCTGAATTCAATGGCAAGTGGATCTCAAATAGCGTACGAAGGGGATTCAAGAGAACAATTGCAGCAAAGTACGAGAGCCACAGATTCGAAGTGAGAGGAGTTAAAGCATGGGGGTACGAAATGTGTGCGGCACGCATCCACAGCCTGGTAAAGTACATTGGTCCAAATAACCATGATCTTTTGTCTACCAACGAAAATCACAGATCTCCCGCTCAGTAATTTCGCGGCTTAACCACTGAGCTACCTCGCGCTCATGAAGTAGCAAGGTGAACACCAGAAGGTACTCATAACCCTGGTGTTTATATCTCCGAGCGAGAAACTTGTAGCAAGAACCTGGAATTTGCCGATGACATTGTTCTCATTCTTTTGAAATAGAGCAAGAAGCGTATGAATTACTAGAAAACCTAGCCAAGACCCCACGACATGTGCTTCGTATCCGCAAATTGCACAACCATCCCGCGGGGTCTTTGAACATGTGTCTGAAAAGCCAAGCAGTGACACTGGAAGTTGTGGAACGCTATACGTATCTAGCAATTTGCATTAACTCTACAGGTAGTGCGACGGACAAGGTCGACTGTAGTTCAGGGACACCGCTGGTCAAAAACTGACAGCTTTCATACACCCTCTGGGCGTAGATGCCACCTCTCTAATCCATTGAGCAGTAGGGGCCGCACTAAGGGAGTGTATACCCTGTCTTTGATAGAGAGCATCTTATACGCAACGGAAACCAGGCTGATAATACAACTGTTAGGACGTTCTCGCACCCTTTTGAAGACTGGGATGACGATCAAGGAGCTCCGTTCGACTGGCATTCTATTTTCCTTTCAAATCTTCTGGAGTACAGTTGTCAAACTGTTCACCAGAACCTCACCAACTTCTTTGAAGAGTTTGGGGTGCAGGCCATCCGGGTCGGGTGCTTTGTCCCGTTGGAAAGATGATATCTCACGCTAGATTTCTGTTGTTGAAAGTGCGCTATGGTCGACATTCTATTCAGGGGTGTTGGGTTCTCAGAGGGGCTGTGTTGAAGGGATCCAGCTGAACTGTTTTTTGAAATGTCCGGCCCATCGCTCAAAGCGATTTTGTAAGTGCCTTTTCCATATATTCTTTCGCTAACACTTGCCTTCTCTCGGGCGGTTGATTAAATCAGCTGGAACAAAGCGCGGCTGTTGACTGCAACGAGAGCCTTCTTCACCTCCTGGGCCATCAAAATTCTGTGTCATTTTCTAAGCTCGTGAGTATCTGGTCGTTGAGGGATCTGCGCGCGTCATCACGGGTGTTTGTTGCAGGTACGGCCTTTCTGGATGATGTCGACTATACACAGTGTTCATTTAGTCAATTCGGATTGCTCGGAAAGACAGTTCTAAAAACCGAAAGCGTACCTTCTTTTATTCGCTCCCATTCAACCTCCAAGCAATCTTCCTCATCCGCGTGACTGTGCGTTTCCAGTAGTTTTCTACCCAGATCAGCTGGTGAGTGAAACTTTTGCAATCTTCCTCATCCGCGTGACTGTGCGTTTCCAGTAGTTTTCTACCCAGATCAGCTGGTGAGCTACTGAAACTTTTCAGAGTTGATGAGTGGAGTTGCTCTGTTTCGCCACGCGTAAAGCAAAGGGATAACCAGACCCGCACAAATTAATGACCAGATTCAAGTTGTGTGCCCTGGAAGGAATGGTAATCTTCAATTGAAGTTCTCTATCGGTAACTGATAGCGGAATGCTATGCGACCGAGTGAATTCAGGTGGAGAATACGAGGCATACTCAGATGTTTGACCACCGAGGTTTCGGGACTATAGCTCAAGTTAGTTAAAAATGCGAATTCGGAGTGAGGTGATCAGGAAACGGGTCTCCGGTGGAATGGATGCTACTTCATTCAGGAAAAGCATCCGTCACTGCAAGCTTAGGTGGTTGTGTTACGGATGCAGACTCATCAACTGTTAAGAATAGAGCTTTTTTCGGTCCCTAATTTTGAGTGGCGGAAATCTAGAGGTGAGAGAAAGGGAATGAAGGATGCTACGAATAGTTTGGGCGGTGCTGGTTCGGGAGACTTTTCAGGATGGGAGTCCAGGTGACCTTACCCATGACTGCCTGGAGAAGCTGAAGCATATGGCAGCTAACTGATGCTAGTGGTGTTCATGCTGTCAGTTTCTATCCAGATTCTAACTTTTCGAGGCGTAGGTCCCTCTCCCTGGCTTATTTATTCTTTCCATCATAAAGCGCTATTCAAAACACTGACATAGCTGAATGGCATCTAATGTTGCTTTGACTGACGGTGATGATGACTGTATATCACTCTTATTTGTTGGAAATTCAATAGGTTATATGGGACAGAAAAAGGGGTCGTTGAGAAATGGACGTCTCAATACGGCTGTTAACAGCTGAACCAAATAGTGGAATGTGAGAGAATGACATACTCACCTTTTTCCACTCCCAACGATCGCCCGAGTCAGATTGGCGACCAACTCAGCTCGTACTTCTTCAGAGCTTCGGTCATAAATTTGACCCAACGTTGCCACGGCAACACACTGAACAGATTCTGGACGGGAAAACGAAAGAAGTGTAGTAGGACTGAGAAACTCCAGGTAACTAACAGAATGCAGGTAGTAAGGCCAAGCATAAAAGATAATAATAAAAACGGACTGTTTCGCTGCAGCACCCTTTCGGTACCTAGCTGTCATGCCAGCCACAGAAACCACGATGCTAGACAGGAAAAGGTCGAGGTGCGGGGTCACCCTTTCGGTACCTAGCTGTCATGCCAGCCACAGAAACCACGATGGCTAGACAGGAAAGGTCGAGGTGCGGGGTTGGGTCCAAATCATGGACTTTCTGGTTAGTAATTTCACGGCTTAATCACTGAGCTATCTCAAGCTCACAAAACTTGAAAGAAGAGAAGATAACTGTGGCTGAATAGAAAGAAGCAGTGGGGAATTCTAAACTTCCAAGTTCTATAACAGGATCAGGTTGTTGTAAAGCATACGTGACCGGAAGACACTGTGGGTGACTGTACACACTTTATACGAGCAAATTGGTTGCATTAAGTGACTCGTCAGTGTTCTAAATCGAAAACATGAAACAGCGTAGTTAGTACGAATCTTCATATCAAGGATGAGGATAGGCACAAAGGAACGTTCAGAACAGTCAAGGACTGAAGTGGCGACCGCTTCGATACGATTGAGGGCTGTCAATTTCGCGACCGATAGGTAATGAATTCTGTTGTCAGTGTGGCTCAAAGCGTTCTGGACGTAGTCCTATTTAGAGTCCTTCGTTTGCGCTTCAGGCCTTCCTCAATTTCTCCCAAAACAAACGTTATAGTGATTCGGCTTGAAAAAGCCCATTTCAGTTTTCAGACATAAAGTGTGTCGCTGATGTACACTGGTCCTGTTTATTACAGAGTCATCACCGAGGGTCAAGAGACTGAGGCAAAGTAGCCAAGCACCAGGATTCACTGACGCCAAGTTATACATTTATGTACTGAAAGACATTAGCTCTACTGTACCGCTACCACTGATAGCCTAACTGCATGAGGAAAATGAAGACGGCCTCAGTAATGTACGGGAAAAGGGATAATGACTCATTGCAAAAAGTTTTGATTGCGGTATGAGTGTCCAAGAACAGAGATCCCACAACTCACAATATTATTAAGGCAAAAAGCATCTGAATAGCGGTGTTGGAGCAGGACGGCATTAGCGAAAATTGACCCACCCTAACCCTTGAAATCCCACTTAACATAAACCAGATGCATAACGACATAAATTTTAGCCAGGCAGCATTGTCTCCACTGGGATGTGTTACATGTCATTTCCACATGGTTTCTGACCGGCTGGATTTCAGCCAAGAGATATGTACGAAAAAGCAACTCTCAAAGGACCAGTGTCGATGAGGGAGCGTCGTTTGCCACGCTGGTGACCTATGTTTACACATCTGTCGCATCCCGGGGTCCAAAGCGTGAGGTGGAGCGTACTACTGGGATTGTACTGGTCGGCATAATGATGGTTATGGGCAGCAGTCACGACTGCGCAGTCCTGTTCTTTCGAATTTTACTATTCAAGTCCAGTAAACTGAATGTTGTCGAGCTACTGAGTTCAGCTAGGTATGCATTTTGTCATATAAAGCCCGACACCCGATGGCTGTCATGAAGGAAATGCTTTTCACAATAGTTCGTGGGTTTGTGTATTTTATCATGAAAGTCACTGTGGTACATCATCATTAGATACGAAACACTAAACTGATCGACAAACAGGTCCAGTCACAGTTTGACCTACCATCTTTCTCTTCTAAAAGATCAATAATTAGCCGATCCGATAGCAGTGCGTTGGGCAACGGGCCAATGCGTCGCACAAGAGCCAAAGTCCAAAACGCTGCGGCCAAAGTGGCAGGTCTCGCCTGCACCTGTCCCGGACGGTGTGTGAGTAGACCTTCTAAATGTTTGGCAAGCCACACACCAGTTGGGCTAGCGACAGCCGCCTCAATGGCTTTTGGAACAACGACCAACGGGTAGACACGTTCGTACCAATGCCGCTTGAGTGGGGAAGCAGGTCCCAGTAGACAATCAGCGATGGCGATTCCCACAGCTAGATGCAGACTAGGGTCATTAATCTGAAAATAAATCCGGGGTTAGATCGATGGTCGCATGGCCTTTCGTTGTTAATCACACGAAAATGACCTAGGATCAACAGGTTGGAAGAATTACTAGCGGGTCGATGTAGCCGCAGTACGCTCGTTTGGGTTGCTCACTTTTTGGGTTTCAGTAGAACAGCAAAGAGATTAGGGTATAACGCTACTGCTGATACTAGTAAATGCGCATGTCCGCTAAGTATCGTTGGATGAATAAACTACACGCCGAGCACCAAAGATATCAAAATAAAAAATCCAGAATCCGGAATATGCGCACAAATTTTGTTTAAGATTATTGTGCCTGAACTGAGGCAATGAGGAGAATATAACAGATATTGAACAGGGCTCACCTCAGCTGTATCGGTAATCAATTTCAGAATGGCAATGGTATGTGGGTGCGAAGTCACATGTGTATCGGATTCCTTAGGGTTAACGGATCCCTTACCACCCGATTCCGGTACACGTTCGGTTCCTTCGCCCATACAACAGGCTGCCAAAGCGCGAAGGGCGGCTTGAGCAACATGTTGCTGACCGGTGATTGCACCAGCAAGCTCTCCGCTACCGCTGCCAACACCAGTGCCGTAAGTAGATGCTGATGGAAGATAGACCGCGATGCGATGTACCATGGCAGCCTTGGATGAAACCAAGTTCGGGGTTGCACCACCAGGTATGGGAAGTGAGCCAGCAGGTAAATGGGACAGGCAACCTGCACGGGTGACGATCATAAGAGCTTCGAGAATAGCAGCTACGGTGGCCTGTGCGATGCTAGAATTGACGTAGAAGCCGCTATCGTTGGTCGAACGTTTCTCTTTGGTTGTGGTAGTTGCCAGCACATTATGGAAAAGACAACTGGGCTTGACAAGGAAGGTTGCTGAGATCAAATGGAAAGCAACGGTGATGAAGCGATAAACACATACCACAATGAGCACTGCTGTCTGAAACAGCAAACAACTAAGTGGGTCACTCAACCGAGACAGTATAGCAGGATAGACAATATCAGGGTGTTAATTGAAAATACAACTTCTTTCCATAAAAATTGGAAGCGGGTGCGACACTATTTCTATCTGTCAGTCCGTTTATAGCTGCACGTCTACAATTATGTGACTTCATGGGTATTTACACGATGTTAGTTATATTAAGCAGTTTGTCCAACATCTACGATAGTGGGGTTTACGGGTACATGCTAGTTAGACAATTACGCGCGGCGGAATTCGCTTTCAAATGTTTCCGCCATAGGTACATGTGGGTCGCATACCACAATCGGGGTTTTTAGTATTCCCAAGCACTAGAAAGTCTGAGAATTACGAAACACATCGTGACTTCTGTGAGTTACCCTAGTATGTACGTCCTGTTCGGACGATCAAAACGTAGTTTACTGATTTTATCTTGATCGAGTCGCCAAGTCTAGTTGCAATTCAGGCTAGCATAGGCCGGGTAAGAATAATAATAGTAATAATAATAAAAATGATAGTTTAGCTGTAACATCCTATCGGTGCTCAGTTGCCATGCCGCGCGAAGGAAGCACGAGGCCTGAGGTGCTGCTAGACTGCTAAAGCCTAGATAGTCGAGATGCCGGGGTCGGATCTGAACCACAGACCTTCTGGTCAATAGGTTCGCGCCTTGACCACCGAGCTGTCTTGGGTGGGGATGAAACTCATGGAATCCAAAAGGTTGCCGTCAGGTAACAGCGGCGAAGATTGAAAGTTACCGCAAAATCAAGCTAAGTTCGCAGCAACCGACTGCATTAAATTAGAAGCCCTGTTTGGCTTGTGATGCCATTTGCTGCGCGCAAAACCAATTACCAATCTACCAATGAACATCAGGGAATTGTCGTCCGTGGGATATAAAAGCCAAACTTTATGGTTACTTCTAGTCTTACGGTGTTTGAGTCAGCGACCTTTTGCATGTGATGAAGACGGTGTACAAGATGCGGAGCGCGTCCCTCCTCTGGAACCATAGCTCGTTGGCTGAGAATAAGATAGTATCTCAGAGCTTTCGACATTTAGTTCTTTGAAAAGGATCTATCGACACAACACTTTTCACGCTTCATGAGTAGTGTGTTACGCCAAGGGGAAGTATTACGAAACCTCTAATATCCTACCCAATGAAACATGAAGCGATCTTGTGCAGTACAGTCAGTTGAAGAAGAGCATCACAAACGAGAGATTCAGAAGGATTCAGCTGAGCATCCCGTCAAAACCAAATTTGTACACAAATGGGAGTACTTGTTTGATTTAATTGTTTGAAGTATTAAAGTGAAGAATGAGCAGGTGGAGAACGGACCTGGTGTTAATATACTGCACGTATTGTGACAGTTCGAGATGGGTTAGTGGCTGAGGCGCAAGCTTACTAACCGGAAGGTCCATGGTTCGAAGCCAACCTCACTCTCTCGATTGCTCCTGTCTAGGTTTGGGCAACATGTCAGTATCTTAGTCCTCGTGCTTCCTTAGGAACGCATTTGATCTAAGCATAAGAGTGGCGTTGTTACATCTGAACGATTATTAAGGTATAGATATGAGTATACAGGGTAACCAAAAATTTATAAAGCACGTGCCATAGCCTGATGGATTGGGAAGAATACAGATAAAATGGTTTACACAAAGGACCGCAGCGGTTGCAAGGTTTAATACTGCCGGAAGCAACTATACTTACCAAAATAACCAGTTGCGTAGCAAGATCCCACTATCCAGGATCGTCTGATCCGCAAAAGAAGAATTTCAAAAAGTATTACAGATTAGCTTACGTACACATTAGAGTAACCATCTGCTCTATCGCCGCGATAATATCTGCCCGCAACTGCTTCTGCTCCTGTTGTTGTTGGCCTTGTTGTTGTTGCTGGTGCTTTTCTTTTTTGCTTTTCCTCGTGGGACCACTGCTTCCAGTTGTTGATGAAGCAGCCACGGTTCCGGTGCTTTGATCTTGTCTAGAAGCATCGGCTGCTCCTTGGATGGCCACATAGCGTGTGAACAGTCGTTCAAGCAGATAGGCAGCACCCATGAACATTCCCTGCACAGCATGTGAACTCTCTCCATCTATATGTTGTTGCTGATGGCTTCCAGGGGTAGGAATAGCAGCCAGCATGTTCTTGGCCGTTTGTAAAGCTTGAGTAGGCGTCTCGGTAGCCATGACAACCACACTGTAGACAGAGGCACACGCATGTCTGCAGTTGGCCCCTCGTGGAGTAGCCAGGAGAACGCTCTAAAATGGAGAGTAAAGAACAGACGTTAAGTGTTTCTGCTAGTTCGGATATATTTCACGGTCGTGCAAAACCAGACTTGTCAAAGTCTGGTTGTCAACTCTCTTGTCAACTCTGGAAATCCAAACAGAGGGTAGTCAGAGCTACGGCGATGGTTCCTTATACTTGCAGTAGTGGAAAGATGGTATAGGACGGGTGCAGAAAGCAGAATCGTCAGGGCGAAACAGTGGACGAAAGGATGAAAGGTTCATTGGGCTTCCTAGAAGACTAAAGCCCCAACCGAGAGGCACAGGAACACGAAGGGATTCACTCACCCAAGATCGTCAACGGTTGCTTTATGAGTGAGTGACCCAAATGAAAGCTACCGCCTGAAACAGACAGTCAGCATCCACCAGTTCCTAACTTTTAGGAAACCTCACGAAGACATTGCACTGTGGTGACCACCTAGGGTAGATCAAGTGATTTCACTAAATGATATCTTATTACAGTAGCTTTGCTGACGAATACAAATTTAGATAGAAAAGTGTGTTCAGCTGTAGCACCCTTCCGGTGCCTAGCCGCCATGCCACCCGAAGGAAGCACGAGGGCTGGGATACTGCCAGGTTGCCCAAGCCTAGGCAGAGGAAGTCGAGTGGCGGAGGTCGGATTCGAACCACGGACCTTCGGGTCAGTAAATTCGCGCTCTAACCACTTGGACCATCTCGCCCCCAATTTAGATAGATATACACCCGCAGAAGGCTACAGTACTAGTTCCATCCGAACGATGCTCAGAAACGTAGCCAGATCAGTTCACATCATCAGCGCCCATATAATCAAAAATGGATGAAGAAGTGCACATCAATCGTGACCAAAAAGCAACTACAAAGTGACTCACATTCATCCGGTCGAACAGCTGTTTGTTGCATGTGATCAGCTCTTTCGTATTGCCGACCAGAACTTCCTCAAGATAGTTCGGGAAGTTTGGGGCTAGAAGAAAGGTGAAAAGTGAAAATAGAAAAAAGTGATAAGCCTAACAAAAACTGGATGAACTAGTCGCATGCAACTCGGAAAGAGTAACTCACATTCTTTTGTGTTTTGAGATCGTGTGAAGATTACCACTTGAATGAGACGAAAATAGGTATCGATACTACGTTTAGCCTGTTCCGGATTGATTTGATGTGAAGTGGTGTTCGATGTGGATGAGGTAGAGGACAGGGGTCCGGCAGTTGGACTGGTCGTAGCTGATGGACCACCAGCTGGGCCGCTGGGGGTCTGAATCGACCCAGGGCCAGCGGAACCCGCTGACAGGAAATAACGAACAGTCTGGTTGACCAGATAGCGTACCTCGTCTTCAGTCTCGTAGGTTAGGCCGGCCTCTTGAGCTGGAGTTAGACCGCCACGCGTAGCCAAGAGACACAAACGAATAAACTGAACCACCTGGACAGAACAGGAAAGCGAAATAGGGAAGTCCATATTTTGGTGTCGACCGCTAGTACGAAATACTTTAGAGTTGCAGACACAGATATCAAGAAATAACTACCATTCCCAAATTCCAACTTCATATACCCCCTTCGAATACTACAAAGAGTGGTACAAAACGCTGATTCGAACCGAGTAATACATTATTAGTAAGTTTCGCATCAGTCTGATAAAAACGCGAACTAGTCAGGGTGTTGGCTATATTCTTTTTCGGCTTCTATCTCATCTAGGTGCCATGGATCAAAATGCACGGTAACCTGAGAGCGCATGCAAAGAACCCAAATGAAACCGCTAAAAGTGTACACAAGAAGCATCTGAGCGGTCGAGTTCACTTCGGAGCTGCTCCGATTCGTTTATCGTCAATAAGTTGAAAAGACTAGATATTGATCAAAACCTTAGACTGTCACTCTCACTATGCCGGTGAAGACCCAGTTCAAGAAGATGGTAGATTGCTCAAGTTCAAGCAGTCTTTCGGAAGCGCAGAAACTATTTCTTCAGTGGGAAATTCAAGTCCATTTAATTGCTCTCTCACTGTATTATGTGTGCGTTTGTATGTTCCCTCTGTCACCTCGCACTGGGCCCACTTAAGAAGGATTTTCACCGCACTAGACAAAACGTAAAAACTTCCTTTGCCAATAGAGTTTCAAACTTACGTTTTGTTCATTTACGTATTCTGCTTCTTGATGATTTTTCGGTTCGCTAACTTGAAAACTCTGAACCTGTTAAGACCCAGTTTCAGACAGCCTGTTGCACTTGATTGCTTCTACTACTTCGTCTCTACTTCGTAAGTGAATATCGTTGATCATCATGCAATGAGAATACGCTGAGATTTCATCAGACAGGTGGATATTGATGAACATGTTCATCAGTCTGTCTGTCAGAAACAACTGACCAGTGAGTTCTATCAATTTACGAGGACACCTTACTCTTCCGAAAATGAGCGTTTGGGTTTTTGTACAATCAGTATAACTTACTGGGATCAGACGTTCCACTTCTACAAACGGGTTTTTGCGAGAGTGTTGTGTGTCCTGTGGGAAGGGAAGCATAAAGAACAGAAAATAACTTAGTGAGTCGCCAAAAATACATCAAGGTTCGACTACAAACACAACCTGTATTGTATCAAATCTTCTCAACTATAGAACGGCTTATTCTTGACAGAGGAATCACCGCCATGGTGGTCCGGATACGGGTCAATCTTAGGGTACCTAGATTATTCTACACAAGCAACCGTGTAAGCAAACCTTCAACATCCACATCGAAAATAGACGAAACGTTTCCCTTCTAGACTGAAGAGGATCTTTCTTAGAAGGACAGCAAGGTAAAACACGTTCTCAAGCATCAAAAAACCACAATAGGAGAGTGCTGTTTTTTGGAACTATGGCGCGGTGACCTGTGTTGTATCCACTTTTTGAACGTTCGTGCACGCTAACTTCATCGTGTTGGATAGAAAAGCACCGGTCGCAGAGAACAAGCTTTGCTCTCTGTCAATCCGTTTTTCTGGTGACTTGAAGTTCTTGGGAAAAATAGCACTTGAGGTAGCTGAAGTTGCTCCCATATATTCTATATATACATATGGGTATACTTTACATACGATTTCTGATAAAAGCTCAGTGGTTGGGGCGCCACAGATCGGAAGGTCTGTGGTTCAAACCGGAACGCAGTATCTCGACGCTGCTGTCCAGGCTTGGGCAACCTAGCAATATCTCGGCCCTCGTGCCTCGTTCCATGGATATGGCAGTCAGGCACCGAATGGGTGCAGAAGCTGCACGATTGATGGATTGATAGGAGGACCTTGCACTAAATCCGTTCAATCTCATCTGATGTATATCGTCCCTCTAGTGTCAAAGAAGCGAATTTCAGGAGTGGTTCAAAGGGGTCAAGGACAAATAGAGAAGTGATTATTCTCATCCCCAAACAGAAGTTAGAGTGGAGGAGCGAATACGAAGGAAAAGCAAATGTCTGTAGTTTAAGTAAAATTAAACCACTCACGTGATTGACGAATTCCACGAAAGATGGTAGTTTGACTCGACCGTAGACGATATCGTGAATGATATTCGGATCCAAGAATTGTTCGAAAGCCATGCAAGCTTCCCGACGCACATTAGGGTCCCTATGATGGGCACCAACGGAATGGCGAACATAGAGTGAAAGATGGGAAGAGAAATGCGCATTCCAGGGGCAACACACACGAGTTAGAACATTAAACTCGGGCGTGACGTGTTATGCGTGGGACCGGTTGTCCGCTAGATGTGTCTACTAGTGTAATTAATAAAACGCTTGCCTCGAACCGAGATTCGCATGACATGGAATCATTCGTCCTGTCGTTAGCTAAACGGTTATTGACAGGCTTTGAGGGAAGAACCTACGACTGAAGTAGAGACTTTGACCCAGCGTGCAGAACGATATACAACACTTAAAAGCTACAGCTTATACACGCGGTCAACTTCCACTAAACTGATCGTAGTAGGATCGAGTACCCGTTGTCCGTCTAATCTGCTTCAGAAAAAACACAGCTCAGAAAGAATAAGTTACAGCAAAACGAAGAGACAACACAGCTACTGAGCACATGATATATCTATTCATGAATCGCAAATTAGTTCACCAAAAGCTGAGATACGGAATCGAATCCTGTCACCAGATTGGGATGGACCGGGTCGGTTTGCAGAGTGACTGGTGTTCAGCTACAGAATTTATAACGCATGTGCCGGCTAATTATTAAAATTAGCGCACCACTGTGTGTAAATTGTACGAGACGGAACACCTAACGAAAGGGTTCACACTGAATGGAATATGGGTAAGACTCTGATGGGCATTTGAGTGGGGAGCCCTGAAGGAAGTTGTAAGTTTTTCACAATAGCAGGATTCTCCTCAGCTATTGAGAAGGTAATTGTACACAGCGAAATGAAAGGGACAGTCTTACTTATCACCCAGCGCTTGCAGAATCAAGTAACGCGTGGGAATGTGATCTGAAGGGTAGATGAGTCCAGCGAAGTTGACAGCCACTGAACGGCACAGGGGATCCGGCTGAAAGCAGATAGGGGAAAACGAGCAGAAAAGAATACACTAGGCAAGTAGCAGAATGATTTAAACAAAAGGAGCTACGGACCGAACACGAAATCTAAGCACACGAGTGAAAGCGGACACTAACAGTTATATGTATTCCACTCAAGGTGGCGTTCCCAGTCACCGGGTTCACAGTAATGCCCTTAAGGTAGCAGACGCTTCCCAGGACTGTATAATTTGCCCGCGTGTTGTTTGGCCACGATATTGCTGAATCGAATACTTGCCAGTGGAGGGTGCTGTGAACGCCCGGTTGCCAACGGCGGACCGCAGACTCATTCTGGCAAGATATTTAATCGCTGCACAAGTTCATATATGAACGCGCAAATCAGGTCTATCACAATAGGGTGGATATAGCAAGAAGCATTATCACCATCATCACTGACTGGTTAGCATCAAGCTGAATCTCAACCGCGTAGGGGTAGAATCCACATTTGTGGATTCTTACCATGTTTCTCCCTTCGGTTTCCAGAGCCACATAAGCTATCTTCAAGGGCGCCCACCATATTACCTGAAGGAGGCACGAGAGCTGGGCTACTACCAGGTTGTCCAGGCGTAGACTGAAGCAGTCGAGATGCTGAGGCTGGTTTCCAACCACGAACCCTCCAGTCAATAAGTTCTAGCCTTAGACACACAGCTACTCGGGGTTACTAGGCCAGAGAGACACCTCTGACACCTCTCGTCACTTCAATTATTGTCGCGCAATTTTCTTGAGAGAAGGGATCAAATATGGCTGGTAATGAACGACCGCGGACAACACGTTGTGAAAGAAAACACGCATATCTAGTAGGTACTAGGATAAAACGTAGGATGAAAGCTAACGTGTTCACCTTCTCAATGTTTTCATATAACAGACGTTCCAATTTCCCAAGTTGAGCACGGAGAGCTGGGTGATTCTGACGTTGTGCATCCTGGAAAGTCACGGCCAATCTTCTGAGGCAATTGGCAGCCGCCATCTTCAACTCCGATGGATTCTCCTAAACAACGAATATAGAAAGAGCAGAAGACAGACAACGTGGTATCAGGCAGAATCAGAAGCCAGGTAGTTCAGTGGCGGATACATGAAGGAGAACTGTGCCTTACCTCAGATAAAACATCAAAAAGTCTTGGAAGTTGTGCAGGGTCCTTGAGCAAGTAATGTGGATCACGACTGAGAAACTGGGAGAGTAATTCGAACCCCCGAGCTTTGGTGACGGTCAACTACAATAGGTTGACAATTAGACATTAGAAAGTGAGAGAACATCGACCAATGGTGAAATCTGTTCAAGTGTAATCCGATTACACCTACCTCATCAGAACTTCGTTCATAAACAAAGTTTATCAGACAACGAAGGGCAGCCACAGAAGCGGGTCCGCTCAAAGTGCTGACGCTAAAGGAGGAGAACAATGGACAGTAAACATGACAAAAGTAAGAGACATGGGAAAAAAATAGGCCAGTATTGTAGCTCCCCTTCATCCTAAATCAATGATATTAGTAAAGACGTAACAGACTACTCATAAGGTTGCTCAAAACTCTTCAACAGCCCACGACCGGTTTCGCCCTTTTTGGGGCTCATCAGGTGGGTACAGTCCCCGAGTTTCCGTCAACCTTACGTTCTACTTGAACCCGAATGAGACAGATTTCGACAAATACACTCATTTGCGTATCAATTTGGTTCTCACGGGAGACAACTGAATCTCTCCTTTATGAAAAGGATATCAGTAAATTTATCTATTCTGGAGGACACGGAGCGTTCCACGTGTTTTTTGTCCCCATTCTTGCTAAATGTCATGAAAAGCGGAGAGATTAAATAAGCTTAAAACACTCCCCACTGTGTCGTTTGACATTCAAGAATGTTCCGAAAGCAGATAACAGTCTGACGGAAGCTGTAAAATCGAGTTTCGCCTTTCCTATCAAGATAGATATTCTTCATCGTCTCGCCTTTGATGGCCTGGCTAGAGCCACCAATGCCGTACCGTCATCTCGCCCCTGAGCCCAGGTAGCCGAATGAATAACATAGTGGACTTCTATTCGGATGACCCGAGCTCTTATCTCTGAGAGAGAAAATTTGTCCTCAAATGTAGTAACAAAAAGTCGAACTATGAACAACGGACCACACAGACCGGATTGTAAAACACCCTTACTTATTGATCAGATGAGCTAGAAGATCCAGTCCGTGTTCGGCCAGTCGTTTGCGTTGAGCAATCGAGGTGGTTAGAGTGGCCGAGCGGTGGGTTGGTTGTAGATTGGCAGCGCTGCTGTTGTCTGTGACTTCATCCGGTCGGGCGGCCGGCAGGTGATGTCCGCACGAACCTTCACAGGTATGCACTACTTCGGACCCATTCGGAAGACCTTGGGTTGGTGGATGTGCATAAGACCCGTTGTTATTCGCCACAGCTAACGGAGGAGGTGGCGGCGGTTGTGAATGTGCACCGGCTTCCAGGGCTAAGAGGGCCGCCTCCACCAATCCAGGTGCCAGAAGACCAGGCAACGTGATACGTGAGCGTAGAAGATAGTGACCTAATTTGATACGCATTGTGGCACTTAGTGGGCGCCGTGGTTCGTTCCGACCCTGAAACGAGAGGGTGGATTGTTACTGAAACATGGAGCAAGTACAGTATCTCCACCTGGCAAGTTTACTTTTCTGAACTATATGACCCGTAAAGATCAGTAAATGCATGTTGAAGGCAATCTAAACGCGCAGCTCGATGGAAAGACTAACAGCCATCTATACTACCTGAGCTGCCAACATCATTCGTAACAGCAAAATAGATCAACCACTGGATAATAAACTTACCTTCGGGTCAAATTCCCTTCGTCGTCCAAGGTACCACGTGAGAATTCGGCTCAACAAGATCTCATCTTCCCAGTCAACGAGCCTGAAACAGGCCATACATGGAACGATGGAAGAAACATACATTACTGTATGGTATAAGTGGTACACATCTTCTAATTCGAAATGTACAGGTATGGCATACTAGAAGAAAACAAACATAACACCAGAACGTCGATTCCGGTGTCAGAGGATGACAGCTACTGAATCAGTTCGTTGAATTGAGAATGCTGACTGAACAACTTGCCCGAGCTGAGTAGAGTTCGAATTCCTGCCAACAACCTCGCCAACAACCTGAACAACTCAGCTAAGCTGACAGTCGCAACTGTTAAATACAGGGATATAATAACAACAAGGAAGAATGTCGATAGATGGACTGTGCGCAATGTTTGTAATTTTCTCAGGGGATATAAAAATCCTATCCAACTCCAAAGCCAGGTGAGGACCGACTCAAGCCAAACGATATGAGCTGAGCAGCAAACAGATTCACGGATGCTGATACACTATTCCTGGAGCCATATTATGCGTCGTCACCTTCCGAGATCTTCACCTTTATAATAATAATAATAGTCGTTCAGCTGTAACACCCTTTCGATGCCTAGCTGCCATGCCACACGAAGGACGAACGACGGCCGGGATACTGCCAGGCTGCCCAAGCCTATACGAGGGAAAAGGCAGGGGCCGGGTTCGAATCATGGACCCTTCGGCCAGTAAATTCACGTTCTAGCCACTGAGCCATCTTCACATTCATATCGCAGAGCGCAATAGAATGCCGATGTCACTAATGAGAGCGGACTTCACTGAAAGTCCATTTGGTAAGCGACCAAGTCTTGAGGTGAGGTGACATACATTCAAGCGATAATCAACCGGAAAATTCCGGCTCGTTTAACACAAGTCGTGGATATCAGCCCATGCTTGATGACTTAGGCAAGAATCAGGCGAGCGCTCAGCTGCAGGTAAACGAAGAGACGTCGGCTATACATGTTTCACCCAAGTGTAATCAACCAACCATTGACGGTCACGGCCATCAACAATCTTCCTAGCTGACCACACAACGTTCGAGAGTTCGGTTAAAAACTGATCCACCATCTAACAATGACTAAGGCATTATCGTAAGTAGTCAGTGGCAAGAATCTCTACAAAATTTCACCTCAAGACTGAGGATAGCAACACTCACATGCTAAGCGTCCGGAGCTCCTTCGCAGCAGCCGAGACCACCGAATGTCGCGTGTCACCATAGCCGAACAGTATGGGAATAATGCTTTCCTCGGCGGGAAAGAAGTGACGAGAGTAGAACTGAATCACCCCAACCTTGTACTGTAGTTGGAAGGTAAAAAGAAGACAGAAAAGGAAAAAACAGTGACGAATCCTGCGCCTGAGGTCGCGGTTATGAAGCAGTCTCCGATTGGGCTAATCCATTAGGGACCCATTAGTCAATGAAGAATCTTACAAAATAAGATTATAACTCTCTTTCGGTGCCTAGTTGCCATAGGAAGCACAGCGGCTGGGATACTGCCTAGTTTCCCAGGCCCAGACGGGGGGAGTCGAGAGGCGGAGGTCGGTTTCGAACCAGGGACCTACCGGTCAATAAATTCACACTCTAACCACTGAGCCATCTTGCTCTCCCCTCAATCTTACAAAATGATTACAAATATTAAAACCACTCATAAACAATAAGGATTCTTCGGCGGATTCAAGTGTCCACAGTGCTAAAGAGCCGTCCCATGCCTCCCAATATCGTCTCAACTTAGAATCGTAGTCCTGAAATTCATGGATGGAAATGGCCATGAGTTTAAAATGAACCAAGAATTCGATTAGGAATTAATAAACTCACTTTTTCCAATTCTTCTGCTGAAGTGATTGTCGAAAACCTGTCATGAACAACTCGACTCAAATCATATGCATTGAATCCGTCCGGGATGACAGCTTCAGTTCCATCGAAGCGAACTAATCGTTGTACGCTGCATGGAGGAGACATAGAGTGACCAAAGGTGACGCTTACTTGTACGGTGTCAAGAGGATAAGGGAATAAAAGTCTGTGATGAATCGCCGCTGAGTTGGCAGTTCAGATAAATCAAGATCACGGGGCACCAACTCCGATGTTACATTTCCAATGAACGGTAGAGTGATATGTAAAAGCCTGAAGGTGAGGAACGCACGCATAAACACCAAACATTTATCTTACGCATCTCGCTGGCAAACAGGCTTTCCATCCGTAAGCGAGGCAAACAAAACGGGGAGCAATTTGACTTGCTGCAGAAATGGAAGACGGGGATAGCCCAGCCGGATGTACATATGAGAGAAGTTGATAAGAAACACCAGATTGGACGAATCGTTGTAGGTTACAAACAGTTCGTGTACAGGGATTTGTATATTCGGGCGACACTTCAGCCGCCTGGTAACGTCACCTAGAAGTTCCATCAGCTACAAAGCAGTTGACCAGCCATAAGAAAGTCGACATACCTTTTTGCGGTGCTCTTCATAAATTGCCAGATACTTGAGGATACACACTAATGACTTTTGAACAACTTTCTCGAACTGTTCGTCGTCATCGGCCAGGCTGATTCGAAGGGCCAGACGATCGATATCTTCACCTATATAAATGGACACCAGTGAATAAAAAAACTAGCGAGCATACTCGGTCGAGATAGGTCCTCAACCGGTGCAACCATTGTAGTCATGACAGTAGAAACCAAGTCGGTGGGCGAAAACGGGCTCCACACAAGTCTGAAAAGTAGTAAAGAAGGATAGCGACGAACTAGGTTAGGGGATGGATCACATGGGAAAAGATTTTGCACACTTTAGTCATCATCATCATCATCGACAGCATGGCATCAGTGTTTAACACCGATACTTCACACTTTAGAATCTCTTTCGTAACACACGAGAACGGACTAGAGAGGAAGGGAAATCTACAGTCCGACAACCCATCCAAAAATGACAGAACATGTAAAAGCAAGTGGAACGGCAAATTTAACTCAGTGTCTGAAAAGTCGGATGTTATGACGTAGAAAAAGCAAGAATGTTGTGGAGACGAACCATTCTGAAGAAGAGACCAACAGTTCGATTCTGGGAACGGGGAGCTGAACACTGACGGGGAATGCTTGAAGTGAATAGGTTAGCAGCTGGGTCAAAAGACCCAGGTACAGGGTAATAGGCCAGAGTGGTGGTGCGGTGTATAAGTTAATTGTAAACAGAAGAGATTTTGTAACGGAGTTGGGTCTGCAGAGGCAAAAATATTGGAAAGAACAGAAGGCGATAAAATATTGATGTGAAGGGGGAGGACAGTGAAAGCCCATATCCATGAAGAACGTATACGCTGATGTACGGTGCCGTCAATGCGCGTTTAAGGAGTGACCGCTTGCGAGGGTTGTAATGCATTTGAATAGGTCCGGCTGCAGACTGTACACGTATTTTAAAGTAGATCTGCACATCGAGCCTGTTAAAAACATCAGAGGTCAGCTCCGTCGAGAGAAGAAGACCATAAGTCAGACACGAACTATATACCCGGCGGAGCGATGGCGTCTGAAGTTAGTCAACGTTCATTTGAGAGGGATTTTTCCTTAAGGTCACAGATTCGTTCAGGAGTGGACCTCAAAAACCTGAATGAGACAGAAGTGGGAATTGAGTGGTAAATATTGGGGTCAGACAGGAATTCGCACTTGAGGAGGGGGGACATACAAAACCTTCCATGAAGACGAGAGAACGCCTAAGAAATCAAAGCACGCAAACACCCTCAAATAAACAGCGCAAGTTATGGGGCAGGTTCCGAGTAAAACTGGAGACATAGGCAGGATCAGGGGGTTGGAGGCCTTAATTACTGACATAGTGGTGGGGGCGAGATGGAACAAGTGGTTAAAACATCATCATCATCATCGACAGCATGACATCAGTGTTCAACACCGATACTTCACTGTCGTAATGGTTAGAGCGCGAATTTACTGACCAGAAGGTCCGTGGTGCGAACCCGGCCTCTGCCTCCCGACCTCCCCTGTCTAGGAGTGGACGACCTGGCAGTATCTCAGCCCTCGTGCCACCTTCGTGTGGCGTGGCAGTTAAGCACCGAAAAGGTGCTACGGATGAACGACTAGAGTGGTGATTGAAGGTTTTGCGAAATGGGTGGCATCAGCTTATTAGCTGTGACATCGAAGGTGCTCTCTGGTCTTATCCTTCGAAGGTTGACTGAACACAGGAAGAGACAGATCCGTGAAAACTGCTGGGTTGTGTATAGCCGTTGATTGTACTCGATTCCCATAACAAAAACCAAACAGGGTTTCGACAAATTCTGGAACAGCGACACTGCTTCCAGCAATCAACAATGGTTATATTTCTTGATTTGAAAGCTGCCTTTGACTCTGTGGACCGTCAGGCACAACGGCAGCGTCTGAGGAGCAAAAATGTCCCCCATAAGTTCTTGAAGGTCTACAGGAAGCTCTCTTTTGAGTTCACTATATCAAGTGTCAGCCGGGGCTGTCTTCTGTCACCTTTCACCTTCTACTTCGTCATTGATGCCACCATGGAGGACTTACTATCAGGCTCTAATGCATGTGGGGTCCAAGTGTTCCCGCTCACAGATATTGCGTACGCGGACGACATAGCTCTTCTTTGATCTGACACCATGGTAATGTAAACAATATTAAGTAATCTAAATTATGCGCCCCACGGTTTGGTATGCGCTTCACACCTGCAAAGTGTAAAGTGCTGCTGAAAGACAGGGTGGGCTCGAACCTTAGTCGCGTGCTTGCGAACGAACCGATTGAGGTAGCAGACAAATTTTTACCTGGGCAGCTGTATCGATCCAGGTGGTCTTGCGAAACGTGATACTTCCACCCGAACGGGAAAGGTCAGTGCAGCTTTAGCGAACCCGCATCACACGCGGCGTAGGTATGACATCAGCATATCTGTCAAAGGTCGAGTTTACAATGCCGCGTTGCGATCTGTATTGCTGTACGGGTCAGAAACGTGGCCGCTGCGCGTCGAGGATGTCGGAGAACTTTCAGTGTCTTTGGGTTATTGCCCAAGTCTGGTGGGAAAACCGGATCAGCAATTCTGAAGTACGTCGAATGGTATTCGGAAGAAATAACTCACCCTCGATAGCTGAACTGATCATACTGCGTCGGTTGCGCTGGCCTGGTCACGTGCTGAGTACGCCAGTCGACCGGCTTCCTCAAAAAGTTCTCTTCGCACAACCACGTGAGGGGTGGGGACAAGTCAGAGGCGGTCGAATGACTTGGCAGGGAAGTATAAAAGCCACTGCCAGCAAACTCAGCTGCGCTGGTCATTACTATCTTCCTGGATGGGGACCCAGAGACGGGCCACATCAATGGTTAGAGACACTGACAGACCTGGCCCAGTCGCGCCCTCAATGGTGCTCGTGCATCCAAGCTATTGCTTTCAGTGAATAGCTCCTTTCCCGATTCCCCAACTTGACAGTCCACTGACAGAGCTGTATTTGCGCACCAATTTACCAGCTTCCGCCTCCAATGGGCAGCTATCTACCCCGTCTCCCGAAAATCATCAGTGAACCAAACTGTGGCAGCTACAACCACTGTACGACAAGTACGCGGTTCTTACAGCTGACGATGATGATGACGCAAGATGTGCTGAGCCGAGCCATTAAGCGAACTCTCGTTTACCATAAGTGAACCAAATGACATAAAAGTTGATGGACTGTCCAACGAATAGATTTAAGGAGTGGAAGCTGAGAGACAGGCGCACATGCTCTTACTTAGCAGAGGAATATCGCCGAAATATACAAAGAGAGGGGCTTAAAACGAGAACCAGTGGGTACAGGGGGTAAAGCTAAACACACCAAGATCAGTCATACTGTGGTTGAACATCATTCAGAGATTCTCAGTCAATCGATGACGAAGTTGAACAAGAATGGAGAGAGTGGACATCCTTGTCTGACACCACTTTTTGTAGGAAAGATTTTTGAGAGCTCACCATACAGCCTCACCCTCCCAGAAGTATGTGAATATAGGGATCGGATTAAGTTTACAAACTTCTGGGCATACCCTGTTGAGCAAGTGTAGTTAACAGCGCTGACCGATCAGCAGAATCGAACGCACCAATGAAGTCGGGGAATAGCAAGATCGTGGGTCGTCTGTACATGTGGCGTTGCCCTAACACCTGACGGAGTGTGAAGATGTGGTTAACGCAGCCTCTACCCGGTCGAAATCCTGCTTGATTCTCACGAGTCAAGACTTCGCGTGCCGCCATGAGGCGACGAAGAATCAATGACGCCAGAAGCCTTATCACAACAGGCGTCAAGCTAACGCCTCTGTGGTTGCTACGTTCACTGCGAGTGCCCTTTTTGAAAAGGGGTACCACTATCGATTCACCCCAGTTGTCTGGGACGGTCTCCTTCTTCCAGATAAACCCAAATAGGCTAGACAGGCACTGACTGAGGAATCCACCGCCATCCTTGAAGAGAGCAGGTGGAAGGTCGTCAGGACCAGCAGCGCGATGACACTTGAGTAGAGAAATGCATTCGGACACTTCTGAGACTGAAGGCGGCTGTGCGGAGCGGTCCAAACGTTCTGCTTTGCTGCATATCAGGGAGCCATCTTGGTCCCTGATTGTTTCACTGACAAGGGGTTTCCGAGGACCAGTCGAACGAATCAAGTGGAACAAGTGGACATGGAGGTTAGTTAGTTTCAAATATCATGACTACCTGAGCCGGGATACTGCCAAGGTGCGCGCATCTAGGAAGGAGAACGATTAGGATCATCGATGATAGCATTTGGCTGGTAAGTCCGATGGCATCTCAGGGGGTAGGTGCCAGCGTACTATTGAGGAAGTACCAATTTTTAGGGACATGTCGGGATTGCATAACTGAACCTAGAGGGCAGGGAGGCTTTTCTTGAACTTGCAGCAATTGAACCTGGATTCCTGTATATCCTCGGGGTTCGCGAATGCATATGGTCTTTCCAAGAGCGATTCGGTTCGTGGTCTTGATGACCTGTCCGCATTGTTCAACAGTTGGTTGAATTCCTAAGTAAGCGCTCGTCTGATCTGTTTGTCCCCATATGAGCAAACATGACCATCCCAGACAACACGTGTTCAAAGAATGGGCCCGTATTGAGTTCGGCAGCTACACAGGAATCGGCCTAATTCCTAGGTCACTTTTCTTTCGTCGCCTTGTAGCGGCTCCGTGAAGCACGGGTTTGAGAACGGCAGGTAGGATTCCGTCTTGGCAGGTGTTGCATTGACCAAATTTTCACACTGTCAGGTGAAAGAACGATATACCTGTAGATTTCCCTCGATTTTATTTTTTTTTGGATTTCATAGTTGTATTTGAATTGTTTGAACAGTCTTACCAGTCTTTAACACGCTTGCTTAGTAGTACCCCGTATGTTTGTGGACATAATAAGTTCCCTGCTCGAGATAGGTCGGTGATTAAGGTTTCAGCTTACGAACCCGACCCCAGCATCTCGACTGCTCCTGTCTAACTTTGGACAACCTGGTAGTACCCTAGCCCTCGTGCCTCTTCCGTTGGCGTGGCAGCTAGGCACGAAAGGTGCTACAGGTGAACGATTTATTGGGTGAGAGTACACTGGGAGCTCTTCAAAAGCCCGGCACGGTTGTAACAAGAGCCTTCTCCGTCTCCCGGTATGCGATGTCCACCAGAGCTCTCGGTCCTTTTTGGACTCTTCATTATTTGGCGTTTGAGGGATTTGCGTTCGCCTGCTGGGATGGATTTCCTGGCATCAGTCACAGATAGGTGAGACGTTTAGAAAGTGTCCGAGAACGAGTTAGAACAGAGTCCAGGTTTTCGAGGATAAGTAACGTTTTACTTGTCTAAGAACAAGCGCACATGAGCTGAAATGTACATACAAAAGTTCAGTACGAGTATATATGGTAAGTAATAGAATAAGCACACAAAAATCATGACATTAAAATAATGGTCACACGAATCCAGGGAAACAGCGAACGTCAAAGGCATTCGTCACCATGAATTAATCTAGTTGAGGAAGACTGCTGGCATTTTTGCAGTGAGGCATTGTGCCTGATGTGTTCAGTGCACGAATCTCTAAGGCTTTAAGTACGTTTGCTAATTCGCGTCATCGGAACAACATATCAACGGATTTCAAGAGTTGCGTGTACCAGACTGTATTGTTGTACTGCTGCAACACATGATCTCCGCGGACATGTACGGCCTGTTCAGGCCTTTGACAATCAATGCATCCCAATTAATTAATCAAGTTATCAGCTATAAACCGTGCACACTTGTCCAAGCTGCTACAGTTTCGCCCACCGGAAAATGGGAGTGTGGGACATACAATCAAGCCTTGAAGGCGAAGGCATGTTCAGTTCATTCGGAAGTTGGGCAGCTACGCACTGAAGGCGATAGCTTTGATGCATAAGCCCTACTGACTACCCGATTTGGCCATTTCTGCCAATGCCATTGGCCTTTATGCTGTTAGTTTCTTTCCAGATTGTCTGACTGAGCTCTTGGGTGTGTAGGCTCCGAAGAGTACTTCGGAATGCATCACGTCGTCTTCCTCACCCATCCTTTCCTTTCACTTTCACTCTAAGACCTTAAATATAAGTAGATAAGCCTCGTGGCAGTACTGCAGTAAAGCATCAGTATCGACACTTGGTGTACTCATTCTTGGTTTAATAACGTCTGACACAGTCCGGCCAAAAGCCACCGCGTCGCATGGGAAATGCCACACGAAAAGTTGAGGGGTCATGTTCTGGCTACATAATCAACTCCAAACAGTGGTATCACTGCTGACAATATCGTCAGTATCATTAATGATACTTCAATGCCAGGAAAGCTTTGCTCCACAGATAAAAAACGGAATAGTGGGTGAGAAAGGAGTCCGACACAAGCCTAACACAGTAATTCCGAGGTGGTCACGCTGCCAACTGCATCTAACACAAACTGGATGTTAACTGTAAGCACGAACTCCATTGAAATCGACTGACCGTTACATCCCACAACGTTTTCGGATGAGAGCTTATTCGATGGGTGTCACCATGGTCCACTATAGCTTTGCTGCTATTAACAAAATCGACCAATTTCGACAAAGTTTACTGTTTACCTATCGGGAGTTATATACAGATAGCGCTAGAGGCTGAACAGGTTGCTTATTTCACATACTCCTATTCGTCCTCCAGCCGAACGACATGACCGCGTGCCTCCAGTGGCCAACCAGATAAGGTCGACGATACTGAGCTACACAAACCCATTGGAGTTGGACTAAACGGCTGTGTATCGGCCTGGATAATCCTGTTGTGGTTTCGCAACTCCTGTTCTGGTACTCAGGTTGCATGCAAATGGAACTACAGTCCCGGTTAGGGAGAAGGAAATGTACAATAGCACTGACTGTCTTTTGTGGGGCAAAATGAGTACTTCTACATCTGTCTTTAAAGAGCGATCATTAATTTATCAACGAGGTCACGATAGAAACGTATTGTGCGCTATGGAAGCACCAAGGGACAGTGAACCTCGGAAGGTAGGAGTTCAATACAATTTCGGTGGATAGAAAACAGAAGGAAAGCTCATAAGCCGAGGCCCTGTAAGCAAGGTTGTACATCAACAATACTTACAAATAAATCAACGAAGCTGACAGACACGGTATACAACAGAATCCTTGTGGTTTGGCAGATAGCGCCGGGCTAGAATACTCTATTCTTATTGGCCCACATTCTGGTCAATCATGCCTACTAACGGACTCACGGATTGATACACAGGATCGAGGATTTCACATAAGCTTTCCGGGTCGGCTTTGTTTTTGTCCTTCCATGTCTTCCGTTGACCTAAAGGGGCCGAGCGAAAAACAGTGTAGAACTGGGACCGAAATCGTCCTCGGTATAGCCTACCGTTGCAAATCGAGACCAGAGAAGGATGATCAATTCCTAAAACAAGTCCTCGAGCAATTATGCTACATCCGCTATTCACACATCTCTTGCTTATAGAGGCTTTCACGGCTCCCAAGACATCTCGAATGTAGATGCTGTGCGTCGGATCACGTGAATGCTAAGCAGCGGTGCTGACCCGCGGATTCACGGATGGATACAGAGGATCGATGCATTTGTCCAAGTTACCCGGGTCACTTTTTTCTTGTCGGTCAGTGGCTGTCGTTCACCTGAAAGGCACAAGTGAAAAAAGGGTGTAGCACCGCTCTTTATGTTCTCAGCGCGAGGCAATATGCTTGCCAGCGCGAGGATTCGCATGAATAAATGTCTGGTAGTGCTTTGAACTGGGTTCTAGAAGGAGCGTGGACAACCATCGGAGGAAGGTCACTCCACGCACCTACAACCCGAAGTGAGAAAAAATTTTGCCTGATGAAAATGTGCGCTCCGAGCTTGTCTTACTAAGTCCCCGCCGTGTGTTTTCTGGGTCAACGTTGAAAAACATGTTTACCAGGCCTTGTTCAAACAGGGTGTAAGTAAGCATTAGGTCCCCTCGGAGGCGACGATACTTCAGGGGAAACAGATCAAGCATCGCGCGACGCGTTTCGTAGTCCACGGATTTGAGGCCGGCAACCATTCTCGTAGCGCCTCGCTGGACACGCTCAGTGAGGGTTACATCTTTCGTGCGTCCTGAGTAGACAACTTGGTTGGCGTATTCCAGGGGCGGTCTGACGAAGGCCCCATAGAGAATTTCGAAGTCCATGAGAGTGACACGGGAGAAGGGGCGTCGGATCATCCGTAAAATGGCAAATGCCTTTTTCGCCGAGTTCACACGGTTTGGTGAGAAGGAAAATAATCCACCCGGGATTTGACCTTCATCGACGAAATGCGCTTAGCTGATCAGGTGATAATAAAGACCCTAATGGAACCACTGTGCTTTGGGCTTTTTATTTCATCTGCCACTGGGCAATATATCCTGAACCTCAAACGCGGATTCGGAGCTTCTGCCCTGTTGACTCCCCAGGAATGTGCACCTTTTTTATCAATTTAAACTGAGATAAGCATCAGTGAGAGAGCTATACTGGACCATCATTCCGAGTGTTCACGAACCTGACGTGATGTTCAACCCGAAGAAAACGGCACGCATTCGAGTGGGCCGCAAGCTTCCAGAAATGATTCGGCGTTTTTAGAAAAGAGGTATCAACTCTTTATGAAATAGCTGATCACAGAAGACACCAAGGAGGATCCGGCGTTTCGCTGAATTCGGAACCATAGTATATCGGAAATCCGCGAATGGAACATACGGAAACAAGCCACCTAATTTGGCCTAGCTGGGAAAACAGAAATGCGCTGGATAGATACATGAGGCATCGCCGCAGAAATAGGGCAACCGCGCTCTCTTCGAACAGAGTAACCCACGATTAGCCCAACAGTGGGCAGCTTAACCCAAGCCAAGGACGAAGAACTCATATCGAGTGCCATATTTTTTGACTTCTCAGAAGCATTTGATAGGGTCCCACACGTCCCGCTGCTCCACAAACTCAAGTCTTACGGGATTCAAGGGAAAATCCTCACCTGGATCAAGGCGTTCCTATCAGACAGGTCATTCCGAGTGAGAATAGGCTCAACCTATTCCTCTCCAGAGCCGGTCTCCATTGGAGTTCCTCAAGGCTCCGTCTTGGGACCACTCCTGTTTCTGATCTACGTCAACGACCTCCCAGACGTTCTTGCGAGTCCATGTTTACTTTTTCCGGACGACTTGAAATCCTGGAGTTCCAATGCCAGCGCCCTCCAAATGGATGTAGACGCTGCCAAGCAGTGGTCGTTGAACTGGCACCTTCCTCTGAATGATGAAAAGTGCGTCCATGTGTCGTTTGGAGGGGATTCAGCGAATGCCTTTGTTATGCATGGTGAAAAGGGACCAGAAAACATCATGAGGATAGATGCCAAAAAAGATTTAGGCATCTGGGTCTCCTCAAACTTGTCCTTCGCACTACACCATGAGAAATCGGCCCAAAAGGCATTTGCCATTTTACGGATGATCCGACGCCCCTTCTCCCGTATCACTCGCATGGATTTCCAAATACTCTACGGGGCCTACGTCAGACCACCCCTGGAATACGCCAACCAAGTTGTCTACTCAGGACGCACGAAAGTTGTTACCCTCACTGAGCGTGTCCAGCGAGGCGCTACGAGAATGGTTGCCGGCCTCAAATCCGTGGACTACGAAACGCGTCGCGCGATGCTTGATCTGTTTCCCCTGAAGTATCGTCGCCTCCGAGGGGACCTAATGCTTACTTACACCCTGTTTGAACAAGGCCTGGTAAACATGTTTTTCAACGTTGACCCAGAAAACACACGGCGGGGACTTAGTAAGACAAGCTCGGAGCGCACATTTTCATCAGGCAAAATTTTTTCTCACTTCGGGTTGTAGGTGCGTGGAGTGACCTTCCTCCGATGGTTGTCCACGCTCCTTCTAGAACCCAGTTCAAAGCACTACCAGACATTTATTCATGCGAATCCTCGCGCTGGCAAGCATATTGCCTCGCGCTGAGAACATAAAGAGCGGTGCTACACCCTTTTTTCACTTATGCCTTTCAGGTGAACGACAGCCACTGACCGACAAGAAAAAAGTGACCCGGGTAACTTGGACAAAGGCATCGATCCTGTTTATCAATCGGCGACTCCGTGAATGTATTGGTCTATATTCAGTTGAGCCTTCTCGTCACCCTCACTCCTTTCGAACGAAACTTAAAACGACCGCTAATCGACTTGCTCTTCACGGAGGTGGACTTTCGTCAATCCTTTTACAAGACAAACCCGTTCCGTGCGTTGAACCCACGTGATGTCTTTTCGAGGGCCTTAAAGGAAACGTGGTTCACGCTGGCGAAGCATTACAACCTGGTGTTCTGTCAGTCGCTTGGCGAAAGCTACCGACTCTCTTCTCGGAAGGACGCGATTTTTACACCGATCCACAAAGTTGGCGACAGATTATCGCCCAACATTTCTGGTCTTTTAGCCTAACTAGCGTGTTTTACAAAGTGATGGAACGCATTCTGATTAGGTCATTCCAGATCATCTCACTACCACCAACTTGATACCCCCAGTTCAACAGGGAATTCTCCCAAACCTCTTTTGTGACGAACATGCTCGTATTCGTGGACAACTTAACGCAGAACAGGGCGGAGGACTGATAACAAATGCCATATTTTTCAGATTCTCAGAAGCATTCAATCGAGTCCCACACGTTCCACTGCTCCGCAACCTGAAGCCTTGTGGGATTCAAGGGAAAACTCTACTCCGGAATAAAGCGTTTCTATCAGACAGAACTTTCGGTGTAGAACCGGGCCGAACTTACTATCGTCGGGTCCCGGTCTCCACTGAAGTTCCTCGAAGCTCCTTTTTAGTCCATTTCCGTGTCTGATCTAAGTTAACAAACCACAAGGTGTCCTTTCAGTTTCCTACCTACTTTTTGCAGATGACTTGAAATCTTGACGTTCATGTGCCAGTGCCCTCAAAATGAACGTAGACGCTACAAAGCAATTTTGGACTTTAATGCCTACTTTTTGCAGATGACTTGAAATCTTGACGTTCATGTGCCAGTGCCCTCAAAATGAACGTAGACGCTACAAAGCAATGATTTTTGGACTTTAACTCTCCTCCGAATGACGAAAAATGCATACATATATTATTCAGACAAAATAGACCAAGGGACACGTCGAGGATAGATGCCAGAAAGCATTTAGGTATCTGGCTCTCTTCAAACAAGTCTTTATCCCTGCACCATGGGAAATCGACTTAAAAGGCGTTTACCGTTCTACGGATGGTTTTGCACTCCTTCTCCTGTATTACTCTCATGGACGTCCAGTTACAATACGCGGCCCATTGAAGACAGCGTCTTGAGTATATCAGCCAAGGATGCGAGAAGACCGTAACCCTCATTGAGCGTGTCCAGAGAGCTGCAACGAAAATGGCTTCCGGCATTAAATTAGGGGGTTATGAAACGTGTCCCGCGGTGCTAGACCCATTTTTCCTGGTTAATCGTCGCCTCCAAGGAGATCTGGTACTTACTTATTGCCTTTTTGAAAAAGCGTTGGGCAACTGGTTTTCTGCTTTTACTCCAGCTGACACACGGTGAGGACATGCTAAGAAAGTTTTTAAAGATCAGATCGCACAATATCATAGGACAAATATTTTTTCATTCTTGGCAATTGATGCCCAGAATACATCGAGGACCCAGTTTAAGGCACTATTATTGACTTTATCCTGCGAGTCCTCGTGCTGGTAAGCCTAATATCTACGCTTATAATTTACAAGGCGAAGCTACACACTTTTTCTTGTGCCTTTCTTGTGAATAGAAGTAGCTGAACGATAAGAAGGTATCCGACCCAACAAACTCGGACAAAAGCCACGATCCTACGTATCAACCTGCAAAACCCGTGAATCACTGTGTTCCGTTTTTACCACGGAACGTCCCACTTTGCGCAAGTCTCAGACCATTTTTAAGACAGTAGTATCTCATTCCAACCTTGAGGAGCTAAACAATGTGGCGTCCAAAATGAGTTATTGGTCTTTCCGTATTTTGAGCCATCCATACACACCAAAATGCTAGTCACACTGGAGCATTCCGTGAGGAATCCGTGTTGCGCTGAGAGTATAATCATGTTTGCAGCTTAGACCGACCCGCAATGAAATAGGTTTGATTAATTTCGTGGATATGTCGATAAGTGCAATTGAGCTGGTGTTATCTGTAAATCTCAGATACCACTGTTGTGCGATTTGTCGGTTCTCCGTTTTTGTCCCTCAAGGAGAACGCAGATTTCGTGTTTCCGCGGCGATGTCTCATGTACTTGAAGAGCACGCTTTTGTTTCTTCGAGCGAGGTCCGTAATGGTGGCTTGTTTTCGTATGTTCCAAAGTCGCTTGTAATCAACATGCCGTTGCACCAATCGGATATCGTTCAGGCAAACAACAATCCCTCCGGGATTTGACCTTCATCGACGAAATGC